AGTTGTGAGTGTCCTGTACTGACGCTTATGTTCATACTTCTGGCCATTCTTAACCGAAATGTTTTATAAAATATATTGGACGAAATATTTCTTAAACATACTTTTTTGTCTTTTACCTATACAAAGCCTTTTGATATAGGTCTTCTTCACTCCTCCGAAATTGTTCCGATGCCGCGTGTTATCAAATTGGGAAACAATTTCCTAGTTCAAAGCTTCAGGCACCATCGAGGCACGAGAAAATCTGATATTCTCACTAATATTATTTTATAACCTAGACGATTGAAGTTCACATATTGAGTAATCCAATAAGGCGTACTCGTTTCAACGATCAAACACCCCTTCAAGGAATTACTTTTAGCGAGAGGGATTGAGATTGCCCCTAATTGTAGGACGTTTTAAACAGTCTCTTTTGCCCTCGGGTCCTTTTGTCAATCTCATCTTATCTCACCTTAGGATTCGCGTTACACCGCCTCATGATCCGAGGAATGGTTTTAAGAAGGAGGAATTAATATTTGATTTCGAAACTCTTCCATTTAATTATTACATTTTGAAAACAATTTTCATGTTTCCAAAGGACGCCAATGAGCTCCTCTCACTCTCTCTCTCTCTCTCTCCCTCTCTCTCTCTTTCAAAACATTTTTACACAACACGGGATGTAAACGTCAAATGTGAGAGAAAAAAATCACTTAGAATCACCACAAACAATAAATAACTAAAGAAATATATGTACATACTGCTTTTTTAAAATTGTTATTAATATTTTTTAATAAAGCAAAAAACACCGATGAATAAGTGCAATATAATCTTAAGTTTCTAGTAACTTATTAAATTTTATAATAATTTTGGGATTTGAGGCTAAAAATATGAGCTTCTTTGGTTTGAGTGCCATGGAAGATGGCGTCCATAAATCCAGTAATATGTCCACGTGTTTCTTTGTTAGAATATGTAAAATATATTGATGAATAAAATTTAAGATTCACAATTTTAATTAATTATACGTTTTTTAGCGTTATCTATCTTTGAAGATTGTCAAGCTTCTTCTAATGTTAAGTATGTGCTTTCAGGTTTAAGAAAGCCTCCATTTTGTCTGTAGAATTGAACAAAAAAATTAAGTCATATTTGCTTAGTGGCCATAATTGGCCATATTATTTATTCCTGTCCTTCCATATTATTAATTGGCTGAGATGAAAAACCTTAGATAAAAAGAATAATTAATTTAAAAAATTAAATTACAAAAATGCCGATTTCTTTACTGAAGTGTCAAAATATTTCTTCTGAAATTATAACTCTGGGCATTCCTAAAACCTAAATGGAAATGAGCATATGAATATGTTGATGACAGAACACTGAATAAAAACACACTGAATTTTTTAGAACTAAACAATAACTAAATTCAGAAAATCTTTGCCGGAAGGGGAAAAAAATGTAGAATCCATAAGAGAAAAAACTGATTTTAGGAAACTGTTTCAAGAAATCATGTACACTAAAGAAGTTGTATTATGAAACCAATTTCACAATATCATCACAAAGAAAACGCTATTCTGCAGTTGTTATGTAGTGGCTCAGGAGCTCAGTGCGAATGAGAAAAAGTTCTAAAGATTTTATATAATCTCAAATTTTCTTTTTAAATGGCTGCTGGAATTGCCCTCACATTCTGAAAAGGATGAAATTTATTTGTACATATGACAAAATAGAGGAGTAGGAATGCCCCCGATGTGAAAATTGATTATGAGACAGCAGCATGTATCTGGGTCCCCCCATTCCCATTCTTGGAGTTAAAGGGTTGTTTTATTGTATATAGTATTGATAAGTGTTGTGCCCCTAGGGTGTGTTGAGAGTGAATGAATGTGTAGTGTGAGGGCTAAAGGCCAAATATTGAGTAGCCCATTGACCCTCATTTAGGTTAGTGTAACTATTTAACTGTGTAGTGAATAAGTGAAAATGATGTCGGTGGAATATTGAGTATCCCATCGAACTTCAATTAGGTTAGTTACATATATAGTGAATAAAACAGTGTGTTTGAAAAGGGTGTTGGAGGAATATTGTGTACTTCACCACCCTAACTGATTGAATGGTATGTAAATAAGAAAGAATGTATTTAAGAGGGAAAGAGTGAATGGGTTTGGATTTAGGAACTTATTGTGTTGGGGCTGAAATCCAACTTCGGAGGCTGGACTATAAGATGGAGATTTGGCCCCAGGGTGGGTGATTCTTGAAGCCCGTTGGTAATCAACAGGGCTGACTTTTTCATCTAGATCTCCAGAGGTAGAGGATATCCCAACAGATTTAATAACAGGCTGTGTAGTAGCTTTTTGGGAGAAAAAAGGTTTTAGGAAAAAGTACTGCTACAACCAAAGAAACTATATAACAATTCATAGAATAATAAAATAATGAAACAGTGTACATTAACATTTGAATAACGTAATACACACCCTGAAATGTATAATCTAATCTATTCAACATTAATTATTCATTTTATCTAAGGTCTTGGTTGAGATGAAAAAGTTAGTGTCTAACCTGAGCTATCATGAAGAGCAGCGGCTGAAGGTCATAGGTTCGAATCCTGTTCGTGACACTAACTTTTTCATTCATTTAATTACTTTTATATTTGATTGAGAATATTTTTCAACTGTCCTCCTAGTTAGACTTAAAATAATCATTATCTTTTATAAATATCAAATTGTAACAAGCAAACTTCTTTATGCTTATTGGAATTAAGTAAAGTTATGTTTTATCACGGCTTTATCAGATGGGGTCTCTATTGAAGGAGGAAAGCCAGCCATTTGAGTTTCAGCCTGGAGAAAGTCACAGATTGTTAACTTTTTAAAGCCTCTATTTGGAATTTCCTTACTTTTGACGTTTTTCATTTTTAAACTTTAAAATTTTTGTTTGTTAGGTGTCTTTATTTTATTTTTTAATTAATTAATTTTTTGCTCATTACTTTAAGAGTCAAAAGTAATTTAAGTTTGCATAATTTGTTGTGTTTTTATTATCATGTTTTCTCTCATGGTGAATTATCCAGCCCCTTGTTATTTTATTTCAATTGTCTGCTTTAGATTCACTAATTTCGTGGTCCGCTTGACCAATTAATACATTACAATTAATTAAGGTTTTTAGTTGAGAAAAAGTTTTTAGTTGAACTAAAAACCTTAATTATCTGCTTTAGTTTATTTTAGCCAATACTTAAATTTTTAATTTAATTATTGTTTATATTTGTTATCCTTGTGCATCCTTAAATTTATTTAAATTATAGCTTAAAAAAATAGTTTGTGCTCAACTACTCGTCTGAACAAATATTAATTAGTAATTACTACTGTTTATGACAAATGTGTATTAGAATGTGATTAACAACATCTACTAATACAAATTTTTTTATTAATTCTCATGTGACTTGTACAACAATGTTTGTCTTTTAACGATGCAAATGATCATAAATAGCAAAAAAGAAATAGATTTCAATTTTACATACTAGAATTAATGTAATATTTACAATTGTGATCTCAATACATAAATTTACATATTTACACAAAAAAAAACTTCTTTTTTTATACAAACATTTCAACGTGTGAAACATATTAACATGGTCCCTTACACTACCAATTATATTACACTTATATATTATTGTACATTAGCTTTCATGGTTAAAAAAATCAATTGCACTTGTATTTAGACTTTGGGATCACTTTTTGTTTGCACTTTTTGAGTTTTAAGTTCATCCAATTGATCAAAAGGAGGGGGGAATGAGGTCTAGTTGTTGTTTTGCGTCTTAGAAATTAATAGTTTATTATAATTCAATTTACGAGGAAATGAATCACAGCGTCGATAATAAATTCACATCAGAGTAAGCATTACATATGTGATATGTTACTAAAAAATGAGATCTGATTTGTAGAAATAAAAACTATTTTCAAAATAAAGCGCAAATACCCTAAATCTAAGTTGATGTACATATTCTGTGAAGGGGAAATTTTTTTGTTTTTTAAGTGAAATTACGTATTTAGATGAGCTTAACTTCCTTCAGAAACTACCATTTTCCAAAATCTTAACGAATTCTAAAATTTTAACAAGTCTAACTTACTTCTATTTCATTAATTAGGGCAGTTATATTGTGCTAAAATAGAGCACGTCTAATGAGGCAAAAGTGAGTAAGCTGTTCAAAATCAGTTTGATTGATGTTTAAACAAAGGATTAGAGAGAAATCTGACAAACCGTAAACCAATAAACATTCTCTAAGGGTTTTCTGTCAAATCATAGCATGACTGAATAACCATGTTGATACGTTTTTATCTTAATTTTTTGTTGTTTTTTTTAATTAAAATTTCCCTCCCCTTTTATCACAATAATGATCTAACTGAAAAAATACTAGTTTGATCTGATATGCCTTTCATTTTAAGCCAATCATTCCAATTTTAGTGATTACAGTTCTAGCCTTCAGTGTTGTGTTCAAGCTTCAATCGAGCTTTCTCCCGAAACTCAAGTCACAAAAAAATTACACTACAAAGCAGCACAACGAATCCCATGCATGTATAGTAATTCATTAACAAAACTAATCTGCAAAAGGTAGATGCAATAATATAATATGAGTTAGAGGCACAATGTATCCATTTTCATTAATACATTTTGGCAGTATCAGTTACATTGGCAGTATTTTTTTTCTAAATTGGTAAGTAATAAATGGCATAACATTTCCTTCAAATTAAAGTTAAATTTTGCTAAACATCAATCATATTTCAATTTGAGATAGATTAGTTTAGATTTCATCGATAGTCAATAATCATTTTGTTTAAACAAGAGTCAAACTAATGGGAAAAGTAAATAACATCACCTTCACACCATGTCCAACAAGGATGAATCCTTTCTTATCATTAGCAATACAATTTACAAATATTTAAAAACATTCGGTTTTACTTATAAGGCATCGTTGAATAGTTTAATAAAAATATCAAAGAAACAAAATTAAACTACGATAAAACTCCAAATTTGAAAATACTAAGGCAAAATATATATATTATTACATCTTTATTGTTTACCATAGAAAAATATGCATATATTCTCTTTTTCATAAAAAATGGGTAACATGGGTAATAAATTAAGAATATTTGTTTACATGTAAAGACAATACAAATTGAAGAGTTTTTTATTTATACTGGTTGAGCTAAATAAATTCTCTTTTCTTTTCTTTTTGAAATTTCTAAATGGTAAAAATCAATTTGTTTTAGAAAATATTACTTTGACCAAGTTTGAAAATAAATTATAGCATTTGTACAAAAGCAAATTAAATTGATATGGAATCTTTAAAATTTAAAAAATAAAATAAAACAGTCTTTCACTACAAAATAAATTAATGTTGCGCTATTCGGTAAACTGTCATAATGATTGTTATCGAACTCTTAATTTCACTTTGACAGTTAATGAAAAAGAAGTCCAGAATTAACATAAAGAGATGATGTTGAAGAATAATTGTGGTGAATTGCTCTAAAAAGTAAATGATTACCAAATGTCGCAACTTAGCCACAAACTAGTCCCAAAACTAAACCCTTCCAAATAATAATTTCACATATTAATCATGTTTTTAAAACTAAAAAAAAAAATAAGGTCATAAAAACAATCATTTACAAATTTGTACAAAAAAAATTAACAAATATAACAGGATTAACAATATTTCAAAAAATTATAATTAAGGTAACTAATATACCTATGAATATTCAATACTAAACCAGCCAGTGAATGCACTTTTATATAAAATAGATTAACACTTTTTAGTTCAGTCGTAAATATATTAATGACTAATTTTTATTTATTTTTTTTAGTTTTTCAGTTTTAAAAGAAAATGCTTCAACTTTTTTAGCATTATGGTTAATCTACAAGAATTCAAATAGATACTGTAAATAGATGCTATTATTTACAAATAACTACAAGTTTAATCGACTCTATTATTCCACATATATACATTATAAAATTGATGGTTTTATACAATGAACAATATTTCTTGCTTTCCATTTATACTATTAAACATTTATTTTTGTTTTAATAAACATTATCACAAATAGCGTGAATCAAGAGTAATTGACGAGTCATTGTCCTTCATGAGGCTTGATTCGTTTTTAAATGTTGTTTTTTTTTCTTTGTAATTTTTTTCTTACATCTTGGGCGGTATCAATTCTCATGTGTGACATGAAAAATTGAGATTCATTATTCAGAATCTCCTATACAACTTTCTCTTAATCATCTTTTTTTTCTCTTTTTGGTATCAGCTAAAATAAGAAAAACAAAAGAAAACAGCTCGTGCCTCAAATTACACTGTATCTTACAAATACTGCAGACACTGATATACTTAAAGAAATAAGGGAGCATCACTTGAAATAAGACTTGTATAAAAGTCGACTGCGACACGTCTCCTTCTCCTGTTCCATGAGAATTAGTAAGTCCCTCAGGCAAACCCTCTTCACCCTTGGCCTCAAAGGAAGCTACAAAAAAGATTTAACAGTTCATTAAAGTTCAGTAAAACAGGTTAAGTTTAAAAATTACAATTTTAAAAATATTTATTTACCAAGATTTGTCGTAAATTCTTTTAAAAAAATTATACAAAGTAATAATTAAAAAAGTCTTCATCAATTTCTTTAATTATCTGTCAATATCTGTCCAAAATATAAACTGAGCAAAAAGTATAGTTATATTTACATATATGTCAGACCAGGAAGCAGTGAGGAGTGAAACCAGCCAGTGCTGAAACTCTCTTTTATTTTTGGGTGGGTGAAGACAGGTCACGAGGCTTGTAAGGGTGAGACTATGAAAGTCAGGGCTAGTGGGTTAGAGTGGAGGGATAGTTTAGAGTGGAAATTGAAGAAGTGTGTTTGGGTAAGATCTTTTACGAATGGGATTTTAAGATCTTTATGGATTGTTTGTTTGATGACATAGAAGGGAGCGTATAAGGCAGAGAACTTTATATCGAAAGGATTGAATTCGTTAGATGTTGGAAGATTTGGCCAAGCCCCACAGTTCAACTCCGTAAGCCCATATAAGTTCTAATAAGTGTTTTGTAAGCAGTTAGTTTGTTATGTAAGCTTAGAGTTGATTTTGATCTCAGTTGATGTCTGAGGAGTCCATATCTTTTGTTAAGTTCTTGTCATTTTAACCTTGTATGTGCATTCCATTTAAGTCTTTATATAATTAAAGCCCAAGGTAGCAGATTTGATTCAATGGTAGTATTATTTTGTTTATGTGCACTGGTGGGAAAGTTTGACGTTTAAACATAAACTGGCTTTTTGCTCGTTCAACCTGAACTGGCCACCGATCATCAATTTCTAAGATTTATTTTCCTAAGCACTATCACAATGTTCAACTTTTAATAAATGTTGTAACTTTTAAATTTTTAAAAATAATTCCATTTTTTAAGTATTCATGAAATTTTGTGATAAATTACTTACATTGGAAGACGAACTGGAAGACGAGCCTAGTGTGAGAGATGTCCCTGAAGATTCGTCTAATTTTGGTTTTTTACGAGGTCCGATGGCTAACAGGGCTGTAAGGTTTGCTTCCCTTTGCCTAAGTTCTTCCATTTCCGCCCTTTGCATCTAAATTAAACCAATGATTTAATAAATAACAATAATAAATTTGCTACTTATAGTTTTAGTAATTTAAAAGATTTACTTCTTTAGCTTTGGCTTTAAGTTTTGCTTGTTCAGGGTCTTCTGGTTTGCTTTTTGATTTTGCTGCCCTCAACAACAGCTCTCTTTCTTGTTCTTCATGCCTCTTCCTTTCTGCCCGGTCAATTTCTTCCAGACATTTTAATTGTGCTCTAACATCTTGAGTAACTTCATATCTAGGATCAACCTGGAAATTTTATATTTCAAACATTAGAGAGCAGATTAATGACAAACAACATCAGCAGTCATGAAAAAAATAAAATACCTTATTTAGATCTACCCTGTGTTCGGCAATAACAGCCAATTTTTCCACTAAATTTTTCAGTCGTTCTTGAGTAGCATGTGAAATTAATGCTGCTACATCTCCACTCGGTTCTTCAAGGCCGTGTTTCCTAGCTAAATTGAAACAATACATAATAGTAGAATCAAACGTTATTAATTCAACACTACGGGCATACCTATTTGGGCGATTTTTCGCATAAGAGGGCCAGAATGTAGGTATATGTCGTCCTTACAAGAACGAATCTGTGTGCCAACAAACTCAGTTGAACCTAATATTCTTTGGCTTTCCTCAGCAAGGTTGACTCCTCCCATTGCTGCTACATCATTAATATCATCATCTCCCCTGTGAAAACAATAAGGATAAAATCATGTGGCAAAAAAGAATCATCGTGTATTAAAATAAAAACAATAAAAGAAAAAGGAAAAAAGATTTACTTATTATAGTATAGGCTTTGCTCCTACACATTCCTCTTTATAATATTCTGTTCATATTTTATTTTTTGTAATAAACATATTATGTACATATAATACACAAATTAATTTTTATTTGTTTACTATTTCAATGAAAAAAACAACACCTGAGCAATTATCTGCCTGGTTGGATCATATTTCAATTACAAAAGTTAATATTAAATACATATAAACATATTAATCTCTTTTCCAAAATAAAAACAAGTTAAGATTTGCACATTATAATTAAACAATTATAAACAAACAACTACTTACATGTATCCTGAAGAAGAGAAATTCTTCTTTTCTTTTTCTTTGGCAAGTGGTGTTTTAAGAAGAGAAGGCTTCGAAATGGCAACATTGGTGAACTGGGTAGTCGCTAAGACAGGCCTCGTTGTGAATTGCGTTTTAGTCAGGGTCTGTCCAGGACGGAGGGTTAGAGTAGGACCGGCAGCCGTTCTAACAATCTGCGCTGTCGGCCTTACAATTTGAGGAGTTCTTATCGTCGTTAGTGTCCCTTTATTGACATTGGCGACTTGTGCTGTCGTGGCCATTCTCATGGGCTGAAAAAATTAAATTCAACATTGCATCAAATTAAGTGACAAATTAAAACAATACACAATAATATATGAAAGTAAAATCCTTCCAAATTTCAATATTGTGTGCAGTATTAGAAGTTTTGAGTCAGCCGTTCTACAAGCTTGGCCAAGTTATTAAACATTAATGAGTAATGGAATTTTATGTTTGGTGGCATAAAACATTTCTTACAGTTATAATCCTGTGTTGGATTGGTTGCCCAGGTCTTAAGGTAGTATGCTGAGTAATCACCCTCATTTGCGGTGCTGCTGCCACTTGTACTTGCCCTCGAATCTTAAACATAAAAAACGACATTTAACGACTAAACCAATGATATAATTGATTCAGTTTTAGTCTTCCAGAGATAAGGGTTACAGCTTGTTAAAACCTTAACTTACTAGCTAAATCAGTACATAAAATGAATTCAGTTTAATTGCTTGAACATTCAGTTTAAAACTCCTTTGATAAAAATGCTAATATTTTTGTTTTCAATTTTTCCCTTCAAATTGTATAAAATAGTGGTTAGGGAGACAAGAGTAGTTATCAAAATTCAAATCAGTATTATATATCATATCAATTACCGGAGTGGATGAAGTTGTGCTGACGTTTGCAGTTGAAAAGATGACAGCGGCAGGAGGTGCTCTGATGCCTTCGATTACCATCTCGTTATTAACCATTGCTTGTCGCAGAAGAGGTAAACTTTTCTACACATAGAAATAAAATACACATTATAAATCAAGTTGAACTTATAAAGATATAAATAAAAGGTACTAGACCTTTTCTCAAAGTTTAAAAAATAATGTAAAAAAAATTTCAATCTAAGTAATAAATGTGCAATCAATCAGCAACATGTTCAACATTGAAAGCAACATATAATTTCTTCTTTTTTTTAAATTAATAAATAAACAAATCAATAAATGTGTAAAAGCATTAAGCATCCCTAAATGAAAAGTATAATGCATCTCAAAAATTGTACATACCTTGAGAAAGCCTATTAGACAAGGTTGAGGCGAGGCATTGAGAAGTTTTTCTAATCTATCGCAGAATTGTTCTGGTTCTACTTTGGTGTCCACTAATTCTTGGATAAGATTCCGCACGTTTCTCTCGACAGTCTTTGGCTCCCTTGACGATAATTCAAGAAGATTTGCTAGGAACTTCCGACATTTCTCCTTTGTCTGTTCAAATGATGTTCTTTGGGTTAAGATCGAATTCTAATCGAAAATAATGCTTATTAGTCCTATGATTATTGAAAGCAAAGATACATGGATGTTAGCATTTAACAATAAAAATAATATTGTATGTTAAAACAAGAAATTTAATTATTTGAATTTTAAATAAATAAATAAATTGCAAAGTAGAAACATTTAGATTTAAGAATGCACAAAAAATTGTTTAAAGCCATATTGTACTCAGAAATTACCCTGGACAGTCTATATCAACTCAACAATGTATGGCATGACACCAACTTTGGTTTTAAAAACATCCACTATTTAAAAAAATCCTCCTTATATTTTAAAAGTAAAATAAGGTGTAAGGTGAAATTCTTAATTATTCATATTAATTATTATTGCCCAGCACTTGATAGACTGATCAAAGAATTTGAACAAATGTACTATTTCAATAATATTTTAACACTCACACCGCCGTCTGTAAAAAATAACATGAACCTTTTTCGATCAATTTTTTTTTAACTGAAAAACTACAATATTAAGTTTTTTGTTTTATAATCTTTATTTATTTAGTATTCACATAGGTGACATAAATGAAAATTGTCATGTGTACGCTAAAAGTTTTTACATTATATAATTACCCCAAAAATAATTTAAACACAGCAGGACTTCCGGCTTGGCATTTAGAACAGAAAACTCTTATACTTTTGTGATAATGTTTACACTGATTTTGATTACATTTTATTTTAATGGGTATCTCTTCTGGGTTGAATGTTAATTATGGCTTCTTTTGTTATATTTTTCTTAGTCTTTGGTACATTTGTTATTATTAGTTTTTTATTTATTTTTTCCTTGCTGTACTTGTAGCACTATGTAGAATAGACTGTCTAAAATTTATGGAAATAAAGGAGTTATTTATTCTCAATGTTTTATATAACTATATTTTTTTGTTATTTATTTATTTTTATTTATTTATTTTTTTTAAGGACTGATCTTATAATATTTCATTTTAATAAAGATTTTTTTTTAAATACTTCAACAGAATTATAAGAAATATTAAACCTATTAAGGAAAAGAATTTATTTCTTATCCAAAAATATTAAAGTGTTATAACAATAAATTAATTTTTTAATGTCATATATTTTGTTCTTTAGTTCCCGCAATGCCCAGTCACCTGAAGGAGACAGGTCTGTAAGTTTTTGTGTAATAATATTACTGAAAATTTTTTTTACTGTTTTATCAGAGTGCCAAAGAAATAGCAAATATAAAAAATAATACTAAAACACTTTATTTTGTCTATAGGTGTTGGAGGGTAAAAAAAAAAAAAGTAATAATTAGACAACAAAACCGGGGGAGGAAAAAGGACCCACAAGGACAAGCGAGTGTTGATGACATCCCCCCCCCCTTAAGAATAGTGCAATGTCATATATCACAGTTGTAGAACTATGGTCAAATTATAGTATATTTATAATATCCTCACTCAATATCATCATCAATATACATCCAAGTCAATGATACTAAAGATCTTTAATAATAATATTAATAATACTTTAATATGTAAGAATTGTCAAGATTTTTTTATTATGAATAAAACTGTTTAATGAAATTGGGAATTGAAGTGATAAATGACAATGTAAATCTATTTGGCAAGTTTAATCTAATGTACTTAACTACGTCTGAAATAAAGTTTAAAAAAACCACCAGGCCATTTTTTCCTGATTACTAGACTATTATCATCATGAATCAAATCTGCACACAATACACTTCTTGAAACCTCCAGTAAATATAATTTAAACTAATTTCAAGTTTTACAATTTATTTAAAAATCCTTCACTGATTAAGATTATTATTATTAGGGGGGAAAGATTTTTAAAGTTATAACACATGCAGTTAACACCAATACCCACACCTAAACCGAAGACATAATAAATAAATTAAAAATTATAAAAGCAATTGGGCCAGAGTTCAAAAAATACAAAAAAAAACATTGTGCATAAAACTTAAAACAGTTTTCAGTCACCAAAGGTTCATGATTAATGAAAAAAATTGGAATAACACATAAATATTTGAACAAAACGGTATTTAAATATCTAGATAACAAACAGTGCAGACTAGTAAAGAAATACTACTGACAACACCATTCAATTTTAGAAAGCCTGTAAAATCTTTAAATTTTTAATTTTAGTAATGTTTTGAATTTCGTAATTTCTTATAAATTCAAAAATTATATTTATGTAAACATACATTATAAGTGTATGAGACGTAAGATTTATGCAAGGCCAGACCATTATAATCTCTGCTTCTTAGAAATTGGTCAGATAACAAATAAAAAAATAATAAAATTTATTCTATTTCCTATTATAAATAGTGATAAATTGTTAATAAATAATTACTAATAAATTATTTCACAGCATTTGGTGCAAAGAATAAGCCAACAATGCAAAACATTTTGAGGCTCCTACAAATTGAAATTCAGTGTTGGCCCAAAAAATGCTTAGACTACTAATTTCAAAAAGATGTAATATGCGGGAAGTTTTACCCACATTTCATCACTATTTGCTTATATCTAAACGCAAATAAAATAGTGCATTGCTCATTTATTTATATACGTAATGTATATTCAACAGTTATATCACAAACTGGCCAAAATCAAATAAGGCATGCTTGGTTAAACATTATAGGTTTTTTTAAAACTGTTCCAGCACCAGCGCAAGGCTTCACAGTGCAGTAATAAGCACACACAAAAATACATTGGCTTCTGTCTAAATTCATGCCAATAACAAAATCTTTTGTTTTTATTTAATTAAATCGACAAAACAGACATGCAATAAACTGAATTAAATAGAAAAAAAAAAAAAAACAAGAAAAAAAACAATATAATGTTTTCCTAAACCATAATCCAGTAAAACTCTTTTGGACTGCATTGATATCCATACCTCCCGATAAAATAAACAAATACATACCGATACATTCAAAATAATTAAGTATTAAAAATAAATAAATAACATAGATATTTAATAACACAGTGCAGATTCAAACGCACCATTGTGTGACACACTAATATATAATTGAAATTACCTTATATTGATTATAATGGTTAAGGCCTGGTTTGAAAGGATAATAGTTGTGATGTTCAGGGTAATGCTGCAATTATTATTAAATATTTTATTAGATACGAAAATTTGATTGAACCTGACAATTACTGGAAAAAATTGGATTTTCAAATTTCCAAACTATTTTGATCGGAAGTCAAAAAAAATAAAAATAAATCAATAAAATATAATGATCAAGTCTTTATTACTTTTTTTAGTGTCACAAAAATTAAATTCCCAATTTAAGCTTTTTGCAAAGTCCTAAAAATAAGTGATGAAAGCTTTAGCATCAAAGGTTGATAACATACTAGGCTGCTTAAATTATAAGTGTAGAGGCTGAATCTTTAATATACATGATTTAAAAGTTGGCAGTTGTTTAAAGAGACAATTGTGACTTAAATGTCTGAAAACATAAGTCTACGATGAAGTAATATTGGTCTCATCTGTGTGAAAAAGCAAAACAAGAAGAAGAAAATAAATGGGAATAAAGAAGCATTCTAATAACTGTACATTCTCAAAATTAATATCCGATTTGTCATGCCTAACATTTACCATGCTTTGATAAAATGAAAAATAAAAGCTAAATTCAAACTACTAATAATCCACAGCGCATTGTAAGCTTACCGGTACAACTGCGACTGCTCCCTGAGTAGTGTTAAGGGCTGGCGGAACTTGAGTTTGCACACCGGCACTTGATGTAGAGGCATTCTATAATAAATAATGAAAAATGCAGATATATAACAAAAAGTTGTGATTATATGTACCATTTTAAATAAAATTTAAAGTATTTATGAAATGTATTTGTGCTTTACTTTAATGAGACAGGAATCAAAAAACAAAAAACTTTCTTATGGTAACAAAATATAACTTTTTTTAAATAAAAAAATTAAATGGCATTTTCAGATAAGAAATAATAGTAGAAATGTGATGCAGTTAATTGAATTGAGGGTGTTAAAGATAAGTAGTTTATTATAAAAAAAAATCAAACAACCATCAATCTGATCTCATTTAAGGAAAAACTAAATTAATTAATTTAAAAAAATGAGTAAAATTTAATTTCACAAACATCCAGGTAGAGAATATAAACAATAAAATATAAAAAAAATGATAATAATAAAGAAATAAGAAATTTCATTGAAGGTGGGGTGAGTATTCACTTTTTGTAAACGAAGATTTTTTTTACAGATTTGTTGTTTAGAATAATCCAGATTACGAGCATTAAATGCTTATCATCAACTTGAAGGAGTTACAAACATCTCTCAATGAGAATATCGTGTTACTGAGAGACGTGTTTATAACTCCTTCAACCAGATGATGAGCATTTAATGATCGTTGTAAACTCCCTGATTGTTGTAAACAACAAATCCATGAACCATCATTTACAAAATATAAACAACAATGTATCGTTATATTCTGCTTACGGATAACGTTTGCACTCGGTAGGTGTTATTTGTGGATATGGTAGATACTGGTGTTTGCTGCCCTGCTGCCTGGGCCGTCGTTGCTGCCACCCTGATAAGCTGGAATTGTAGATTGTCAGTCTTGAGAAGTATATGGCCAGATGATCCTTGAAGAGCCTGAAGTGTGATTTGCTGTAAATGTACATTGCGTAAGTACAATAATTTTTCAGCTGTCATAAAAACTCACAAAATATAATTAGTGCATGTATTGGGTTGTATGACAAATTGTATGTTTAATTTAAATTAACTCTTTATAACAAAAATCCAAGTTTCTTGGGTTTCTTTAAGGAACTTGACAACCATCAAACTCATTTTCTTTTTATTGATATCAATTTTGGTTATCTAGTTCCTGAAAAGAAACCAAAATACAAAAAGTTGACAAACGAAAAAGAATATTAAAAAATCCAAGTAATCCAACGAAAGTGTTTTCATTTGTATTTTAATACATATACGATAAAAACACACGAATACACAAAACGGGGGTGGTTTTCTGCTTGTTTGTAAACATTAGAATAATTTTTTTTTTTAACTTGCATGAAAAATTTGATGATAAATTATCACCACATACCATAAATGTGATCTTCAAACCTTCAAATGTCGGAACCAATGAGAAAAGTAAATCATAAGGAATTATCAAAAACAAATCTTGTTTGTTTGAAGACAAAAAATGATCTATTTCCATGAATAAAAATTATTTATGCCCAAAAATATAATCAATAATAAACTAAAATATCCAAATTCTGGATTTGTAAAAAAAATTGTCAATAAGTTGACTTACTTAAAAAATATAAGTAGAGTTTGTTAAATGGTCTCTGCCAATAAAAAAATCATGTAGTTTTTCCAGCAGACACAGCAATGAAGATGGCAAGAAACTGTAACTCATCTGACATACCAAACCCCACTGATGATGAATCTGTATCACCCCACTGACCCAAGTGATCTTAAAATTTAACAAAAATCATACGCAGTTTTTATTAAATATTATTATAACTCAGTATTTACAGGGAGATAATAAAAGTGTTATTTCCCTTTTTTGTGAATCCTGACCCCGACTATTTGTTATACGCGCATTTTGTAGTCTCTAAACCACCAGGCATTAATAAAAACAAAGTGTGATAATTTCATCGAAATCAGTTCAGTAGATTTCATTTTTATCATAACACTTACAAACATTCACTTTTATACGCATAAGTAAGCTGATATTTAACTTTTGCTCCAAAAATCTCTAGATGCTGCCGTATCTAGGCCAACTGACAAGACAAAGGACGAAATGTAAGAAATCCATTATATTACATGTAACATTAATCAGAAAAAGTCATGAAAGAAATTCAAATTTAACAAAAGATTTTTTTGCAATAGTTATTTTGTAATAATTACAAAAAAAATTGTAGAAAGCGATTTATGGAAGAAAAGCATAAATAAATTAAGCGCAAAAGAATAATCCCCAGCAGCAAGGGGTTTAAATAAAACAGGAATTGACATTCAAGATTTATTTTAAGCATTTTATGCCTAGAAAGTTCTTGGCAGAAAAAGCAAGTGGCAGGATTATCAGACATGGCCTAACTACAAATCACTCAACCACAGTACAATATTTCATTAATCAATTCTCCCACTGTCAATTGAAAAACAATATAAATCAATCTTAACGGGGTCTAAACACTTTTGTAATTTAAAACTTTTTATTTCATATTTTGTTTCTGGACAGCGATTGTCTATTGTTTATTCCAAAACAAACAAGAACAACAAACTAGATCGAGGAACATGATGTGTATAAAATAAACAAATGTACGGCGTGGTATTATTTGCCATTAATAAGAAAGAGGGAGAGAAAAACTTATTTTGTACACATAAAAATTCTAGAAATGCATAAATAAATAATACATGCAAAAATATAATATAATAATATTTATGCATAAATTCATAAATAAATAAAGCATGATTAGAAAAACAATAGACACAAAAATGTACGTTTAAATTTTTTTTTAAATTGTTACAGCAATTAGTGTCATAATTAGCTTAAGAATGGCGCCTTAATTGCTAAACAAAACTAGATTTATTAGGTGACACAAAACAAGGTGACATTTTACTGAGTCCCCAGAAGAAACAGGAATAAAGAAGAGAGAAAGAAGCAAGCACCCTTGCAAGGAAACAGTCTACTATATCGCTGAAACCTTTTTGATGTATAGGATTCACACTATCAGCGAGATTCTTAGAAAAGAAGGACAATGTGAAAGTGAGGCAACAATGGAAATCTTGATACAAACAATTCAAAACCCTCTGGACGAGATTTGGAAAGAAAATAAATTCAAAATGCATCAAAGGGAGCCGGAAGGGGTTACAAACAGCAGACTTTGGTACTGCACTTTTCCATAGAAAAGAGTGCTTTGGGACATACATCAACAAAGAATTACAACCACTAAAACCAAGCCTATAATCAAATTCCTTGATGAATTGGGACCCTCTGGTGTGTTTTGAGTCCAGAATGGGGTATAATCCCCTCAAAAGGCCACTGTATGCCAAAGAACCTTGAATTCTTACATCTACATTTAATTAATATGCGTATGGACAATTCATTATAACAATTATCTGGTGTGGAAGAGCTGAGTTTTGTCCAATAAACAAGGCATGCGTGATTTTTTCCCCTTGCCTTAAGGCAAAATAAAAAGCTTCATTAGACTAGAAATGCCATACAATCTAGAAATAAAATGTGAGCCAGCATTGTTGACAATTATCAATATCAATCATTATATAACAATAAAACAGTTGTACGACTTTCTACCATGAAAGTGAAGGCTTCTAGGGCAGTGTTCATCTGTGTTTGAACAAACTACATGCTGTACCACAAATAAATCTCTGTGTTAAGGTGTTTTTGCCTACGGAAAGGAAAAATGATGACAAGAGACATTTGATCCGACTGTTTACACCCAGCTTATTTGTCACAACAAAAAGTCGTGTCGGGCAAAAAAAAATTTGAAATGCCATACAATCAAAAAATGACGATTGAACGAATACTGTGAACAGTATGAAATAATTTCAATTCAGTTTATATAATAAATTGTCCAATCACATTATTTGTTGAATGTTTTACCATTATACAAATATGAAATGGTTATAAGACGTTCTACTAATACAGTACAAAGTAAAAACAAATATTTTTGCTAATAAAAATAATCTGTGGCAATGCTTGTAATAACAAAATGCTCAACTGCAATCATTCAAACTACGAGCTGTACAAGAAGTCTCTGTTACTGGCAATTTTGCTGCAGGATGAGGAAATATGAAATATCATGATGACCAGAGAGACAGTTGATCTGATTGTTTAAACCAAGCTTATTAAACAAAAAGTCTTCAATTGCATTACAGTGTTGGACAAATTTAACACACCACTCTATTTATTTAGTTTAAAATTAAATCCATTATCCTTCTACATTAGTTACAGGTAATTAGGAGCTATTGTAGACAAAATAAACAGTAAATAATGCTTTGTTTACTTTTGGATTGATTAATCCCATATGCACAAAAAGTAGCATTATCCCTTCTCCATTCTGCTACGCCAGAAGATCAATTTCACTTAATCTTTTTCCTTCATTGATTTCATATTATTCTTATTCTTAATCCTTTTTCAATGACTACAGTCAAACATTTCAGGTAGTATGATAGTGTCAGGGTCTTAACATTATTAGAGGAAGGATACAGACAGCGCAAAGTCGCTTCACACTAAAAGGACAGGACAGGATCAACCTAGGTTCACAGACGAGAGGGATGATAGATTTATTTGTAGACAGGCTCTTTGAAACCACAGCATTACGGGAAATGAGATGTGAAATATGTAAGTCCAAAACGTTTCTATTTCATCCAGGACTGTAAGAAGAAGGCTCAATGAAATATATGAAAATAAACTCAGGGTGCGGCTTGTGGACTTCTTCTTACCAGAGCTCAGAAAATAAACAGGCTTGCATTGGCGAATTGTAAGATTGCGGACGAGTTCTCTTTACAGATGAGGTGAAAGTTGGCCTCAAATCTTCAGATGGGCATATTTCCTAGGATTTTATCAGAAACCTTTTCCAATGAATGCAAAGATGTTTAACAGATATGATTCGTGCCAGAGATGGACATACTCAGTATTAAATGGGATTAGGTAATAAACTTTTTCTTTTTAAATGTCTTATTTTTACAACCAAACCCATTTTTGGTATGCAAAGTATGAATAAACCTAAATATATTAAAATTTAATGGTGGTGCATTTATTTTGTCTATTAGTGTATTTATTTGAAAGTTTTATCATTAAATGCAAGTATAGCTTTGTTGAAAGACTTTCCAGAAGAATACAATAGCGGGTAAACAAAAATATTTTTTGCTCAATACAGTGTTTAACTGTAATTGTTCAAATTACAAGCTGTAACACAGATAAGTCTTTGCGTTATGGCATTTTTTCCCAGAAGGCAATGAAATACAAACCCTCGTAATGACAGATATTTAATCTGATTGTTTACATCCAGTTTATTTATCATAACAAAACGTGGAGTAAAAAATTGAAATGCCATACAATCAGGAAATGAGGTGTGAACAAATATCGTTAACACCATGAAATAATTTTAATTCAGTTTTTATAATAAATTATCCAATTGCATTATTTAAAGCAAGTTTTAGGGTCGTAGGACTTTTCACCAGGAAAAATGCAATATAGAGTATACAAAAAATAGTTTGTAGCAAAATAAATAAATAAATCATATAAAGGTTTTTAATGAGCCAGATTTTAACTCAGAAAAACACTTTAAATTATGGCCTGTATCATGAATAAGACTCAGTGTGTCATGGCATTTTGGCGTACAGGCAAGGAAAAAGAAAATATAGCGATGACAAGAGACATTTAACCCAATTGTTTACACCCAGTGTATTTGTCACAACAAAACGCCTTGTCGGGCAAAAGAAACTTTGAAACGCCATAAATTCAAGCAATGAGGTGGGAATGAAATAATTTCAATTTAGTTTGTACAATAAATTGTCCAATTGCATTATTTTTTTAATGTTTGACGAATATACAAATATGAAATGGTTGTAAGACATTCTACTAGGAACAATACGGTACAAATTAGAAGCAAATAGTTTTGCCTTAATAACAATAAACCATGTGAAGGATTTGACACAGTGATCCTCTGTGATTGTCGAAATGCACAAAAATATAAACCACATTAAGGTTTTCAATGAAACCGTGTTCAACTGAGAAAAACTTCATATTAAACTATGACTAAATCTTTGAGATACGGCATTTTTGCCAGAGGAAAAAGAAAACAGAAATCTTGCGATGACGAGACAGACTTTTTATCCGACTGTTTACCTATTTGTCATGATGAAAAACCTTGTCAGGCAAAAATAATGGAAATACCGTACAATCGAGAAATGAGATGTGAACAGAAAGAAATAATTTTATTTCAATTCTTACAATAAATCATTCAATTGCATTATAAATAGAAAGTTTTCCCATTATATACAAATATGAAAGGGTTGTAAAACTTTCCACCAGGAAGAACAAAGGGTATACAAAAATATTTGTTAGCTACAAAAAATGTATATAAACTGTATGAAAGGCTTTCAACTAACGTTCAACTATTATTGTATAAATCCTGTATTATGTCATTTCTGCTGGAAGATGAAGAAAGACGAAAACTTGCGATGACAAGACAGTTAATCCGAATATTTATATATAGCCTATTTGACACAATAAATAGCCGAGGAAAGAGATGTGAACAGTCATACATTCACATTATTTATTGACAGTTTTATCATTATATACAAACATGAAAGGGTTGAAATACTTTACACCAGGAAAAATATAAACCACATTAAGACTTTCAATGGCACAATGTTCAACTGAGATAAACACAAAATTTCATATAGCTAAACCATAAATAAGTCTTTGAGTTACGGCATTTTTGCTGGAGGAAAAAGAAGTAATAAATCTTGTGATGACACGACAGACATTTATCCGACCGTTTCTCTATTTGTCATGACGAAAAGCCTTGTCAGGAATTTAACATTGTCTATATACAAATATGTCAGGAATTGTACAATTTTCTGGTTGTACATAAATGTTTTGTGCTTAAAAAAAATAAATAAATAAACCGTATAAAGGATTTTAATGACACACCATTCAACTGCGATTGACCAAACTATGACCTCTACTTAAGTCTTTGTGTCAGTTGATCCGATTGTTTACACCAGGCCTATTAAACAAAAAACCTTCAATCACATTATTCATTTAATTTTTATCATTTAAGAAAACACCTTCCAGAAGGAAAAATACATTAAAGAGTATAGAAAAGTATATAAACCACATGAAGCGTTTCAACAACAAAGTGTTCAAACTAAGAGCTGTATCACAAATAAGTTATAGAATTGTTCCCTGAGGACAATGCAAGACAAAATCTTGTGATGACAAGACATATGTTCGATCTGACTATTTACGCCTAGCCTATTTGTCACAACAAAAAGTCTTTTCAGGCAAGATAATGATAACATCTGGTATAATCGAGAAATGAGATTAGAACAACATGAAATCATTTTCATTTGGTTCTTATAATCAAAGTTTTACTGTATACAAATTTGAAATTCTAAATTGTGGGCTAAACTGTGAATGAGTCTCAGTTTTATAGCACTTTTCTGGAGGGCAAGGAAAGATGAAACATAGCAGTGAAAATAGACATTTGACCAAAATGTTTACACCCAGCCTATTTGTCACAACAGTGACTAAAAAGATAACAATGCAAATGTTTATATTGGAAGCATGGTAATCAAACGAGGTTGACAATTTTGAAAAAATATTTAAAGCTGAAGAGCTTAAGTTGGACGCACAAGGAAAGAAAAAACTTTACTATAATAACACACGTGCGACTCGTAGTCATTTCGGACAAAACCTGTTGCCGTTTTGACCAGTCGAGACTAACGCACAGACAAATATGAGAAGTCGACTCAACAACCAGAACTCGCGTTTGCATGAAGAAAACTTGTTTTTATTTCAACCGATGGCATGTCAATCTGAAAGCGATAAACTTAAACGAGGATAACAATCGTACAGCGTAGTTGTAACTAATAAGATGAAATGAAGGGATAACGTACCCCAGGTTGAACCGCTCTTCCTCCGACCATCTGAGGGGTTCCGATCATGACTCGGGAAGGAACCGCGCCCTTGGCCCCGCCTGCAGACGACGGCGTGTTGGCCCGGAGCGTGTTTACGTTGACTATCTGGACGTTGGCCGGCATTATCTGGGGGGTGCCGCCGACGATGGTCTGCTGGCCGCCGACCGTCTGGTTGATCGGCTTGGCGAGAGTGACGACGCCCGTCGTCGACGTGCCTCCCAGGCTGTTGGCGTTCGTCATCGTCGTTATCGGTGAGCTTTGACTAGAACTTAGAGCGGACTTGATGACCACAGCCGTGCCCGTCGGCTTGCTCTGGTCCGCGACGGTCTGGGCGTTTTTATTCACGTTGGCCCCGGCTTGTGTAAATGTCTGAACACTCTTGAGCGAGTCGCTGTTGGAGGTTAGAGCTATACTACCGTTGGGCAATGTCAGACTCTGGTTAACGTAACACACTCTATTATTTACACTGACAGACTGGTTGTTCGACGGATATATGATTTTGATACCGTCCTCGGGTTTATTTACAGTACCCTGCACTAAGCCTAAGTTGTTGGCCAGTTGGTTGATGAACTGTCCCGCTGACGCACCGACGACGACCGTGTTGACGGCGTTGTGATGGTCCTGCCCTCCACCCCCTTTCCCGTTATCCTGATTTAACAGTATGTTCATAGAATCCGCCCCGCCGTTGGATACACCGTGTTTCAGCGGAGCACTCCTGGCCCCGAGCGATATACTCGATGTGACATGGTTGTGTTGTACGGATATCGGCTGCCCTTGCGAATTAACCGGGGCCGGAGAAGAAGTCACCAACTGTGTCTCTAACGAACCGACAATCGCGTTCACTGCAGATTCATCCACGTCTGTACTAAGAGCTTCCTCCAGAAACTTAGTAGCTGACGCCATTTTCTGCCGAAATCCAACTGTAAACTGATGTGCGCATGCGCCCACGACCGATAGTACCCACAGTGCATTGCCGTCCCGAGTCTGAAACCTTATTACTAATTATCAACCAAACACATTCGAATCGGACTTTTTTTTTATTTCTCATTTTCGACCGTTTCAACGTTTAATCGGGCTATTTTTATTTTCACCATTTGACCACGACTTATTCAGGGAAACACGTTTTAATATCTGACCCTGATGACCAATTGCTACAAATCCACGAAAACCCAGAGTCAAACTGATTCTCAAACTAAAATATACTCATCGCCTTTTATCGACATAAAAAATAAAATCATACTACAAAAACAAGTTTTTTCTTTATCCTTTATTTTCACAAAATGTAAAATAAAATCGCAGAAATAAATTCTCTCTTTAATCAATTAACCCGACCGTTTCAGGTGTTTCATCAGCTGACCAATCGACTTATCATAACACACACAATGTAAACAATCAATTTTTTTAAATTTCTTGTGACTCATTGTTTGGCTACGCCTATGAAGAAAATCGACAAAAACTATGGACATGACAGAAGAAGAAATAGAAAAACAGGAGTGCGTCCGGTCACCGTCTCTCTCCTCGGTTTCCGGTGACGAAGAATCGGATTCATCAGCACATCTTTCCACGACTTTCATCGACGCGCATAATTATATTACACTGAAGGAAGTAAGTCGTGAAAGCTGTCTGAAGAACACTGCTTATAAATTAACAAAAAAAATTTATTTTTTAATTTCCCCCCACGTTTCTTTATTTTCTCAATTTAACTTCAAATTGATGACTTGGAATAATCTTTGGGGATAATACTTCATTCTCTGGTATTAAATGTTACGGATAATACTTCTTTCCCTGGTATTAAATGTTACGGATAATACTTCATTCCCTGGTATTAAATGTTACGGATAATACTTCATTCCCTGGTATTAAATGTTACAGATAATACTTCATTCCCTGGTATTAAATGTTATGAAACACTTGTCAGCTATTTCTGCAAGTTGTTCATCATTTGTCCGCAGTCTAATTGCTGTATGTTTCAGTCACTTTGCAGTTTTACAGACTTTCAGTAAATTGCCTGTAAGGCATAATACCAGATTAGTCGATTCGGCTGAAGGAAAACAGAAACAAAATTTTAGATTGTGACTGAGACTGGAACAATGTCAGTCAAATCACACTGTAAGCAAAACTTGTTTGGTCATTTGTGAACAGAGTTAAGGTGGCTCCAGACATGCAGAATTCGCCAAATGCCGATGCTGCAAAATATTTGCTAGTCTTTGTGATGCTCATCTTGGCATATGTCAAATAGTGCCTATGTACATATGCAGGATTTGTTCAACCACCAGGTTGTGCGGAACGACATATGTATTTGCCAAGTGCTCCTTGGACCTCAACTTACTACCAATGATGGACAATAGTGAAATTGTCATGACTGCAGCTGAAGTTAGTTTTGTATAGTGGCCACAAACTCAGTCACAGAGTACTATTGCCCCATCTAACTTTTGATCCATAATTCTGAAGAGAAGCTTTCCAAATTATTGGTTCAGCTTGGTATAGATTGAGGTACTCCAAGACACTTATGTTAGGTCAAACCATTCCTAATCAACAGACACAACGCTATGTTGTTCTTTCATTAATATATTAGGAATTGTTTATTTTTGAAAAATAAATAGCAGTAAATACTTATTGAGTATTTCTTAGTGACCTGTTGTTTTATAATTTGTTGAAGTCATTAGGAGCGGTCAAGAATGAGGTAGTTTAGAAAAGTAAAGGTTGAAATGTTGGCAAAAAAATGAAAAAGGTGGTTTTCTAAACTACCTTATTCTTGACCGCTCCTCACAACTTCAACAAATTATGTAATAATTACTGTTGATTGATGCCAAAGGTTGATTTACGGGCAGTACAGTTGATTCCCGAATGTGTGGATGCTTTGAGTTCAGTTATATTGTGCACTTTGAAGCGGACAAGAAAACCGACAAATAGCCAAGATTGGCAAATAACTGAGCACCTGTCCCCACTAGTAAGGATTTGGCAGACCTTTGCTCGGCACTCAGTGAATCCTGCATGTTTGGAGTCGCCCTTAGGAAGACTCATTTTTTGTTTAGAGTACATATTTGTCTAATATCAAAATATTTTGATATACTGCCACCATAATTGATAGGTAGCATAGCTTCTGTTGAACTGGTGCTATTCATTGGACATTTGAAACATACATTTCTTCCTCTCTGCCTAAACTGTATGTTTAAGTTTTCAATTCCTCTCCCCTTTCAATTTACCTAAATCTAGAATTAAACTTTCAAATAATGTCAATGGGTTTTCTGGCTTTGTTCTGGACTGCAGACACTTAATCAATGAGCCTGCAACCTTGTCAATAGCAGCAGGTCATTTCTTGAAAGATAGAAGTGTTGAACTTGCAAAAATGGTACTTTTGTTTGATATTTGAAGCAAACCAGGAATCAAGAAACATCACCTGAAGCAAACAAAATTTTTCACTTGGCCAGTGTGGTTTAAACCCAGATGAACCTATAGTAAAAAGGTCATCTCAGTTTACTTTCTTCAAACATCCTAAAGAAACCTAAGGCTTGACTAATCCACTGTTTTGGACCTAGCATGCATATGACAAAATGGTAGATTGCATTTGACTGGAAAATACACCAAAAATAGGCAGGATTGGTAAAACCACTCAAATTTAACAGAAAGTACAAGCACAAACATCATTTTTACCATTAAAGGATACTTAACTGTTTCATGTCAAGTTTCATGAAATTTTGCCAGTTTATCAGTGCTTTGTCCAGAGTCTGATCGGCTCCCTTGTCTGCCTATTTTCTGTATGTTTCAATTAGATATAGTTCAGTTTTAAAGCCATGACTGTAGTATCATTTTTGTTTGAAACTTACTTCAAAAATAGGCAGACCAGAATGATCAAGAAACTTCATGAACTGATTATGCAGATACAAATATCTACAGAATCTATCTGGTTAATGTCGGGTTTCATGAATCTTACCAATTTTTTCTTCGATTTGTCAATTATTTGTCCACAGTCTGATTGGCCTTCTGGTCTGTAACGTCAGCTTAAGATGACAAAATGGTGGATCACATTTAACTATAAAATGACCGAAAATAGGTTGAAGATGCTCAGAAGTGACAAACCACACAAATGTGAAATAATGTTTATAAATTATCAATAAATAATATTTTTCCATGTGCTTTTGTGTTTTAATTTTTAAAGTTGATTGTTAAATTGTTTAATAACTACTGATCTTAAAGGAAAATAGAAAAACCAGAATGGTCAGAAGAGGCAAAAAAATGGTCAAACACATTTCAGTTTTTCAGCCATCTTCAGTGAATTTCTTATATTCCTGTAGATGACCTTTTTGCCATCATCAAAGTTAATGTAGCTGTGTTTAATGTTAAATTGATTAATGTCTTATTAGTTGATCTGAATTGTTAAATAATGGTCCTCAATCTGTTCATTGCCTATTATCCAGCTACGTTTATTCTTGCTGTATATTTTCATCAGACAATATGAGCATAAGATGAAAAAATGGTGTATTTGTTTTGGAAAGGGTTATACTTAAAAATAGGTAGACCATGATGATCAGGAGTTGCAAAAAAAATGAAACGCATTTTTACTACTTTTTTGCAGCCTTCTTTTGTGAATTTTCTGTATTACCTGAAGATGACCTTTTTTCAACATGTACTCATTACTACATGAGCCATGATATTGTGTTTTGGCCCCTCCTGCACTTGAATCATGACTTCTCATGGTCTGTAAGACCTTTTGATTCAAATACCTAATGAAGTATGGCCTTGCAAATTGGTCAACACAAGCTTTAAATGTTTATGCCAACCAAATAGAAAAGCTAAACAAAAATTCATTTTTTATTTTAAAACAATATTCTCTTTTTTTTTCTTTTTTAACAATGTTTAACGCAGATGGTACTGTAGGTTACCATTTGAAAAAGAAAGTTCATTTTTTAAGAAAGGTTTGTGATGTTTTGAAGTACAATTTGTTTAAAAAAGTCTGTTTAAATTTTTTTTCTAGTTTGAATAGTTAAACAAAAACTAGGTGGACCCTGTTAAATTTATGCACTGCATCATGTAATTTGATCCTTACTGATAATCTTGACCTGTCAAAAACATTTTGGCATTTCTTTATCTTCAGTGTTGGGTCTGGGTAATTTTAATAATGTTTAAACAGTAATATTATTACATACCCAACACTGAGGACGGTGAAATGTCGAAACAGGGCTGACAAACCAAACAAGATGAAGAAGAAGAATCAAATAATCAAAACCCTGATTCATTACCCTGCAAGCCACGAAAATAAATCTCATGACACTGTAATATATAATATGATGTACACCAACATATGGTATGAATTTAACTGTTATTGATCTGCAAATTAAATACTAATTTAAGTTACCACCCCAAGATCTGCCTTTTCTTAGCTATTTCAGACCATTTGCTTCAAATTTGTGCTCGAACAAAGACTACAAACAGATCAAATGAGGACAACAGTATGTTCTTTTTATAATTGCAAGATTTCCTCTTGAGGTCTGTTGGGTTGAACCTGTAGTTTGGTTTTTTTCTTGGTCTGTCATATATTTGACCGGCAGACCAAAATGATCGAAAAAGACCAGACTATAGCCATAATTTCATTAGAATGTTCAAACATCTATTAATTTTTTATTTTATTTTTTATATTACCCTTATCATTATATACCTCAGAGCTTTGTTCATTTTTTTCTCTTTGTAAATTTATAATATTTTCTTGACATTCTATACAATATGAGGAACTAATTTGCATGGAATATTAACAGAATGGTTTGTCATTTTATCAAATCTTTAATGAATTATATCAGCTTATATAATGGTTTTGGAAATGTGTGCACAATGCACAATCATTCAGCCCAGACATATTATTTGATTATAAGAAATAATGCTATTAAGGGGAAATAGATAACTGAAAATGTAAACTGTTGTAGTAATGAGTTAAAGTTTCATTGGGATAAGAAATCATAAATGAGATTAAACTTTCCTTTAAATACTACAATAGACTATGTTATGGCATGTAAATTGTGCATTTTCTTCCCCTTTATTCAATACAAGATGGATAATGTAACATTCACAGTTGATGATTTAGTCAGCACCATTCAAGAATTTTTGACGGCTGGAAGTGTTTTTTCCAGCTATATTGATGTAAATAATGATATAAAAATTAGAGAAGTAAGTGAAAAACAAAACATTGTTTTAATTTGTATAAAATATTTACTTTTATTTTTTCAACAGTTATGTTTTTCCACCCTTAAATAAAGTCAAATATCTCTCATTTTTACTGATAATTATCTTTTACTCGTAGGGTTGCCAGTTTGCTTTTACAACTGAAGAACTGACAGAAGCGTTAGAAAGATGTAAAACGTTGGTCATGACTAGCGAAGAATGCTCAGATGAAAGAAAATGGCTAGTGAGACGGTTGGTCGAGCTTCGGCACAGGCTGGCGCAGGCGAAGGAAAACGAATTAATAAAAAATCAACCAGAGCAGGAAGAAGTGCAAGTACGCTTAGGCCATAATTTTGTGGTAAACTACCAACCAGCTTCGGCGACTTCTCTCTACTGCGACCACTGCTGTGGTACCATTTGGAATGTCGTCTCTTATTATTACAGATGCATTGGTAATTTAAAAGAAAACATTCACTTTATTAGTTATTAACTTTTGCATAAGTGGTGACCAAGTGGGCTTGGCTCTGACTGACAAGAAGAAGCTACTGATTTCAGTAAAGTAAAAAAACTAAATTTGGAATTTTTTTAATTAACAAATTTTGAAATTAACTTACCTTTCACAGAACCAGACTACGCTATAATTTATAATTTAATCTTTTTAATAATTATTTATTTATAATAATATATTTATATAATTTAACATTTTATTACGGGCTTATTGGAACTAATTTTGCCAACTCCCTGTACATGTGGCTAATATTTTTTAATATGCTAAAATTCCTTAAAATTTAATTCAAATTGATAGAGAAAACTGAACAGTGACAGCTCTGTGAACAAGTGCAATTTTTGGTTTTTTTACAACTATTTTTTTTTCCTTGGCTCCTGGCATCCATTGGATGGAGCCCTCAACATGTGTCTAATAGTTTTTTATGTTATTATTACACCAATAAGTCATTATTTTAGCATAAATTTTACTTACTTTCTTTCTTATCATGTCAAATAGTAAATTATAATTTTAAAAAAAAGTTCCTCCAAAGCCTTATCCAAAGGAACTCTTACAACAATTTGATATACATACAATATAATTAATACTATAAATTATCAATTTCTTCAGCTCTTATTTTATAATCTTAATTCTTCAGCTCTTAATTTCTTCTCTCCTTCAAGTTTAGTTGGCATAAAAATAGAAACTGAATAAAATATTCAAACAGGATGATTTAATTGAAGCTGTATCATACTCGATCATGTGGTATTCTTAACGGTTTTGCTTGTTAGATGCTTTTTTCCAACTCCAGTGGTCAGTCAAGGCTACAAGCAGGGTGAGGAGATAAAAGTCTCCAGTTCGTTGTTCCATTTCAGAAGGCAGACTTTGGTTTAACTGCTGAAGATGAAAAAACACCAAAGACTCACAAGAAAACCAGCAAGTATAGATTAGCAAGAATACATATCATAGTTAGAATGAAACATAGCAAAAACAAGTTTTGTGAGGATGAAGAGAGTAAATCAGAGAAGGAAGGTTCTATGGCAAGACCACTTCCTCACCATAGTGAAAGTGTTAAATAAAAAAAATAGTGTATATAATTTTTTTTTTTTTCAGATTGTTCATACAGAATTCATATAAAATGTCTACACTTTATAACAAGAGTATGTCCAATACTGATTATATCTGAACAGGGAAGTTACGAAACCAAAATTTGCCCCGAAGTAGGATTGGATCGTCAAGATTACAAATGCTTCGAATGCGAAAACCCGATCAATTTTGGTATGGAAGTCCTTCAAGTCTTGCGCATCCATGAATTAACATACATGCATTTCAGTTCAACGGGGAAACAATGAGGCGAGGAAATGCGATTACTCTGGGCGATATTTTTGCAAGTCTTGTCATTGGAACTCATTAAGTGTTATACCCGCGAGGATAATGCATAACTGGGATTTCGAACCAAAACCAGTATCTCAGGCTGCATATCAGTTGATTAAAATGACTAAGGAAAGACCTTTGATCATTTTAGACAATTCTTTATATCCTCTTATTGAGGAGCTCAATAAAATTAAAGTATGAACAATTTTACGTTATTTATTTATTATTACTCTGTTATAGCCAATTAAGGCATACAGAGGAAGTTGATTTAATACAACATAATATATAAATTAAGCAAATGTAACATAAGACATACAAATAAAAACAACATTGAAATTATATTAAATGTGAATAATTTATATGTAATAAAATAGCAAAAAAAATGTAATAATAAATCAAATATCATTTAACTTGTGAGGAAACTCTTTATCTGAAACTTTCTATAAAGAATACAAAAATATCATTTATTTTATTTTTCAAGATAGCAGAATTTAAGTCTAGAAATAATGTTACGTTTTTCGTAATGTTTTTCAAAGTTTGAATACAAGAAATATTTTGATCTAAATGAAGCCAAGACAGGGTAGTTAATTAAAAAGTGTATTAAACATTAAAAGCCTGGGAGATACATAAAGTACACATTTTAGCCAAATTGAAGTAAAATTTCTTTCTTTTAAAATAAATACTTCAAATATTTTTGTAAGTTAAATGAAGCTGTGCAATGAGTCTTAATTTATTAATGTTATAATAATATTTAAGTAATTTAGTTAATAACTGGTAAATATATTTTTTGTTTAATTATTATTATTTTAGAAAATGAGAGAACAGCTTGGTCACATGAAACTATACATTTCAACTTGTCGGTCTTCGTTGGAGAGCGGTTTTCATAAACGTGAGTTAGAGTGGAGAAGGCATCTTGTTCACAACACTGACATTTTTAGCCTTGATGATTTAAATGATTTACACAACGGACAACTTCGTATGAAAATTGAATCAATACATAGCAAGTTGAAAAAGCACATAAAAGAAGATTGCGAGGTTATTATTGTACATTGTGAAAATTTAACGCTTTTGATGTTTGATAATTTGATTTTTTTTTCCAACAGGTTTGCAAAGGTCGAGGCTTCTTTTGTGAATATTGCAAAAGTACCGAGGTTATTTTCCCTTTTGACAATAGTGTATATATTTGTCCCAAGTGTGAATACGTTCAGCATAAGCATTGTTGGATGACGAGAAACGCTTGCCCAAAATGTGTACGAAAAGAAAGCAAGACTGATAAAGCTGATGAATAAAACTAGAACAATTTTTTAACATTAATTAAAACAATAACAATGTTAAATAATACTGTTGAAATTTAGAGTGTGCAATATTTTGCTTCCTGTTTATGTTAATAATAAAATCCATGTCTTTTATTATTTATGTTATCAATTTATGGGTTTTTGCTCCCTGCACATCTTTAACATTGAATATTGATTTTTATTGCAATGAGTAAAGTTGTATTAATTTCTTCGTGGTGTGTGACTGCTTTTTACTATCATCGCCTTCCTCGTCTCCAAATTTAATCCATTTATTCTAATTTTAAGACCACTCCAAGGTTAATTTATATACAATGATATTTTTCCCTTATCCGAACTGAAAAATTCAAGGTGTTCGAATTTTAAAGGAAACGAATTAAATATTATTGATGGGGGAGTGAGTAAAAATAAGTGAGTGAGGAAGAGTGTATGAGAAAAAGAAGAAATAAAAAGAGTAAGAGAGAAGTTAATGAGTCCATGAGGGAGAATAAGTGAAGAGTGAGTGAGGATTGAGAGTCATGAAAGACTGGCTTAGACTTTTTTCAAGAATTTCTTTTGTTGAATCCCTCACCTCTCTTCACCACTAAAAATGAATTGTTAGATTAGTTTACATTTTTCTTGTGTTATTCTAATATAACTACTGCTTAAAAATAAGTGAAAAGGTAAAGAATCAATGAATAAAAAGGTTTTCCTATTTGAAAAATTCTTCAAGTATCCACTTTTGTTTTCTTATTTTAACCCTTTCTTATACTTTTGTGTTCATTACAATATTTATTTTGAGAAATAAATGTATATTTTAACTCTTTAGCATTATATAACTGATAAAAATGTAGTCCCTTGCTGCTTAGATTTGTCAGACATTTTACTATTCAATGGTTAGTCAGGGTTATAAACGGGGTGAGATGAGTCAACAAATTTCTGTTTATTCAAATTTTGCTTTTGTTAAATGTGAACAATGTACAGAATTGTCAATTTTTTTACTCTTCTTATAACCCTAACTTTAAATTTAAAGATGGCGAAAAGTGGAAATGTGTCTAGCAGACCAAAAAGTTGAGGATCATGAGACCAATGAACTGAAAGAAAACTACAGAACTCGAGAAGAGATCTCATAACATTAGTTCAAATATTTCTTTACATTACTCATATTTCATTATTATTTTTAAATTCAAGATTTTTTATTGATTTATTGCAAGACTCCACCCCTTTATGTTTAAATTTTAATAAAAATCCTTTATTTTTTAATATTGAATCTGCAAAAATATTTTTCATTTTTTCCCACAAATGCATTCTTTGTATCAAATATATGAAAATGAATAATTTTTAAATTAATTTCTTTGTAACAATATAAATGAATTTAATTGTTGACCTATACATTTATCAAAGCATCCCAAACTGTATTTGTTAGTAGATAGATTTTTTTTTTTACTTTTATTTATATATATATTTTTTTTCATGTCAATAGGTGGCCTCAGAGGATCTGATTCATCGAAAAAGGGTCATCCACATATGTTTAAGGATAGGCCATGTGAGACTGACTCAGACAGTAGGCACTCATTTTTGGATCAAACCACACATATGACGTGTCCACATGTAGAGAAAGGTCCCACCCAATTGAAGGGTGCACCTCCTTAGCTCCATAAAGAAAGCATTTAAGAATGTCACCTGAAATGAGAATTGTTCTTGAGCAGGACAATGAGTATCTGCCCCTATTCTGATTCTTCAACAAAACAGGGTTGTTTTATTTTATATCGTACTGATATTTTTCTCCCCTTAGTATGTGCTAAGAATGGATGAATGTATTAACATGAATGTGTAGTATGAGAGGGTGGAATATTTATTGTCTCAATGACCCTCAGTATATAATACATATAAAGGGTGGAGGAATATTGAGTACTCCTCCATCCTGAGTGAATGGTATGTAAATAAGAAAGAATTTATTTAAGATTATGAATGGGTTGGAATGTAGAAACTGATTATGTTGGGGTTTTGAAAAAAAACTAGCTGTCCATACACCCTAGAATCCTAACTCAGTGGTCGGGTACATAAGACGAGGTATTACCCTGGTGGATGATTCTCGAGGCCTGCTAGTAATTTATTGTCAATTATAAAAGCTGCTCTAATTAGTGTGATAATTAGTAGCTTTAATTAGTGATAGATAGGCTCAACTCAGTATATGTGTTTATGTGTGTACAAATTTCATCAATAATCACTAATTAAAAAAAATATTTGTGTAGTACCAGGTTTTTGTTTTTATTGAGGCACAACATTTTAGCAATTTAATTATTTTATCAATTGAAAAAATTATAAATAATTTAAAACCGACTAAGCACAAACAATCATATACTTTACAATTTACAAAAATATATATATTTCATCACATTTTATATTTTATAAATGACCAATTTATTGAGAGGTACAGAATGAAAACGAGATGACCAATAATTAAATATTATGTAAATTAATTCATACCATAGAAAACACTTCACATCGGTTTTTTTAACACTGTACCGCTAGTTTATACAGTTTTGTGCCACATCGACAATTCCAAAACCTACATTCGGTCATCTTTGTACCTCCAAAAAGAAGAAGAAAAAAAGCTTTTCAGATATTTATAATATAAAATTTGGTTTATATTGGTGCTAAACACGCAAGAGTCCGGGCAGTCTCTTATAAGCCCGCTTGCTCGAACTTTTTCAATTGATTCCCTAACTTTTCACATTTTATCTTTCTGATATGACTCAACTTTCTTTTTCCCGTGTAATCAGCGATGAACTCATCGATATCTACACCTCCTTGGAGAAAATGTTCAGCTATCCTTTCACTGTCCTCGTCGATCGCCAAAACCGATTTCTGAAGAGATTCTCTTATATTGTTTGGACTATACGCTTCAGCGAGTTTTGCATAAGAAGCACTTGATTTCTCGACTTCATCAAGTAAATTCCTAAGCATTTCTTGTTTTACACTCAACTCTTCCATTAAAGAGGCTATCGTCTCTTCACAAGTTAAGTTTTCTTTGGCTAATTTGGTGTTCTCACTTAGCAACTGGGATTTTTTGTTTTCTAATGCAACCACCAAAGGGGACGCCATTATCATCGCATCTAGTATTTCCGGATCTTTGGACACCTTCTGTAAATCTTCGACATTCCATGTTTCAAGCGGAGGCAAAGACATGCCGTTTTCTAATTGTTCATCGCTTACGACGAGAAGCGGGTCGTCGCATTCATCAGCCCCTTCGAATGACCCTCCCAGCGGGTTGTTTTTCATAGACACTTCATGCTCATGTTCGTCTTGGCATCCCCTCGAATCCATTTCACTCGGTGACTGCCGTAACATCCTCATGAATTCTAAGAGTGTATGAGCCCAAACGATGTCACGTATCCTCCTACCTGCAGGGCAAAGAATAAAAAATCCGTTAAAAAGCGACTTGAGTCCAATTCGAATTCTTGTTTCTTGGTGATTTTCCAAGTTTTTGCAAATCGTACGAAATCTTTTTAAAACACTCACCCAACTATGATAGAAGGCGGTTTGATTCATAAATAATTTTACGACTAACTACTTAAAAATAAAACAACCTAAAATGTAACACTCCAACACAAAATAAAACAACTAATACAGAAAAAAGGCCTGACACATACTACCTCCCGATCGGTTAAGTGAAAGTAAGGTTGTAAACAAATCCACGCATTTCTAACAACGCATTTAATAATGTCAAACTTGCGTTGCTTTGTTAATTGCTTTGTCCGCGGGCACCGATATTTTTACACTGGCCGAGAATTAATGAAGAATCCGTTGGACAGACGGATTCTCCCTTCTTTGCAGAACGATCTCACCGTTAGGTACTATGCCAAAGGGAAGGATAAAAAAAAGGAAGACAAAGGTTTGATTATTTAAATCAAAACACTTCAATATTTGCTGTCAGAAAAGAAGAAGCAAAATAAGGATTCTATATATACAGTACAGTACCCTTTGCTAGCAGTTTGAGTTTATAACTAAGTTCTATTCACTTATCAATTAGCTATTTAGATTAGATTAAACATAGAATGTAAAATTTTATATTATCCAACGCCATTTAAAAGCCATTGATAATGTTTTATCTATGAATAACATTCAACATCTATGCACATCTATAAATAAACTTGCCCTGGTTGCAAAGGTTTTATTTACTCCATAGTTGCATTGCAACAAACATTCTCTCCAATGAGGGAGCTCAGTTGTTTATCAGGAAATTTACACATTAAATATCCCACATGACCCAAAGATATAATTAATTTCTGCATTTTTTCCTACATTCTGAAATATACTTTTGTAACTCTCCTTATCATAAGACATGTAATTTATTGAAATGTATTTCTATCAAGTACAAGCACATGTATTTGTATTGCTAAAGGATGTCTATTTGTTTACTCTTTGAATTCCTGCCTATGTTCAGTGTCCTGACTACTATTTAAGCGTACTGAATAAGTGTGTGGTGTTTAGTGATCGTAATGATTAACAGAATGAACCCATGTAAACTCAGTCGCAGCTACGCCAATGTCATTAAACAAATTCAATATCGATAACATACATATATCATCACATCACACAAAACGTAATATAACATATAAAACAATCATCACATTCCACACATAAAAAACATTTCTACATAGTCTAATTCTTCAACAATTTGGCTTTCCTTTCTCTAATTACCCCCGTCTATTTAATCCTAAAAGGATAATCAGGTTGAACCATAACCCATTCTTTCTCATTGTTGGCTCCTTTCACCTCAAAGAAGCAGACTCCTCATATAAAAATGTTTTTCTTTACCTACTTCCTTCTCCACTCCTTCAAAATCCAACGTATATAAACATAAAACTAAATATCTCACTGGCACTCTCAAATGTCACCCAATAATGACACATCTATACAGAAAACAAACTCTTTGAGTAAGTACAAATACTTTGATTGAGCCTAAAATTTCTAGCATTGTATAAATTCATTTTTTTCACATCCTACATGTATTTGTATAATTTAAACAATGTTTATAAATCCCAGGCCCTGAAGATGATCTCAATAAAGATCAAAACATTGGCACGACAAAGAAAATGTTTTTCTGAACCTACGTCACACCAGACCACATCTCACGATCTCCAAATAATACTGAATAAGATTGATTAAGCATATCTCACCATTGCATTAATTTCTGGTAGAAATATACACTCACGGGCTGTGAGTATTTGATTTTTAAGCTCAAATCAGTCTTTAACCATCAATTTCTTTCCTTCCAGCCATACTCCTTTTAGCTACTTAGGTGACCCAAAAGTGCCTAATGACCTAGGAATGTTTTATGCAGCATCAGTATAAAGGGTGTGGTCATTAATTAATGTCCCCAGAGGACAGTTTTATCAATGATGTACAAATTCAATGTTCTCACTTCTACTTAATCAGATTGATTGAGCATGTTTCTCTATTCCATGAACATCTGAAAAATGTACACGTGGTCTGTGGGTATTTGATTTTGACACCAAATCAATCGGTTTTGCTATCAGTTTGTACCTTTCCTCCCATGCTAATTCTTTTTTAATACTTAGGTGATCCAGAATGATTGCCTAGGATTTTTTGTGCGTGAGAGAGTAAAGAGGGTGATCATTAGTTATTTTACCCCCTGTGCACTCAGTTATGTTGATGATGTAAAAATTTAGTGTTCTAAATTCAAATCATATTGGGTCAGATCGATTGAGCCTCTCTATTTGTATTTGATTTTGAGCCTAAATCAGTCAGTTTACCATCAAATTATACCTTCCTCCCATTCCCACTCTTTTTGACTATTTAGTTGATCCAAGAGTGCGTAATTACTTAGGTTTTTGCATGACTTAAGAGTATAAAGGGTGGTTACTATGTGCTTTATTGTGGATCACGAGTTCAGTGTTCTGACCAATAATTAACCGTCTTGGACGAGATCGATTGAACCTCCACTGTATGAATATCTGCTGTAAAAAGGCTGAGGTAATTGAGATCAAAAAGTACTTGATTACCTAGGCTTTTTTATGTGGAGTGAGAGTCAATATGCATTTTTCTGAGGTTCATGATAGCCTAATGAAAGGTGGTCAAAATATAAAAAGTTATTTGAAGGAAGTGAAAAGGAGTTGATGCGCAGAGAAATGATGTTGCCTTTTCAGTTGTATGTGGAACATTGAGCATCCATTATTGAATATTGATATCCTTTTTTGTTCTGTAATCTGTCCAAACTAAATCGAACACAACTCTCATGGTTTTTTTGAGTTATTCAAATGACTTTCAGCATTGTGCCATTTTTAGCTCGATAGCTACAAAAAATCACGAATGGGGTCAGACCCAATAAGTGACCCTGTGCCGGTTTAGCATGTGTTCACCGACTTGCAGACCAAAACCCTGACATATTGATGTTTTTGGACAAACTTTCACATGTTTCTTGGAGTCATGAGATTTCCTTTCATTAGTCCTCCTTATCCTTCAATATTTATGTTTCAACCCCCTCAGAGATTCTTTGTTATGTTCGAGATCAAGGGTGCAGTCATCTAAATATTTTACTACCGCATCCCTTATCTTGAATACTAGTACTTATTAGATGTTAATAGAAATTGGTTAGTCAGTGTTTTTTTTCTACTATTTTTATGACATGTTCTATCTTTAACTCAATCCTACTTAGGCAGAAGGCAACCATTTTCCAAGATTACTACATAATGATAACCACAGACATTCTGCTTATTGCTTTCTATGATTAAGGAATTAAATTTGAATAAGACACACAGTAATAATCTCTCATGTAATAAAAAAAGTATTTTAATTGAAACACAATTCTATCCATTTACATAATTTGCGTTATTCGACTTCATGTAATATTTTCTGTAGGCAAAGGGCATAAAAAGAAAATTGAAATCAATGAATTGGCATTGGCCGAGAACATCAATTATGATAAGATGAAGACAGAGATGGAATTGAGCATTGAAAGAATGAAAGATAGTTTTGCAAAACATGTATCGTTAAGGACAACAACAGGTAAATTTTAATTTCACACACAACAGCTGGTGATTATTGAATAATTTTCTTTTTAGGCGCAATTGAAACTCTGACCATCACGTACGAGGGAAAAAAGTATCCTTTAATGGAAGTTGCTCAAATAATGAGAAACAATCCAAAAACAATTGTGCTCAACTTGTCCTCCTTTCCGCAGGTAATACCTGCTGTGTTGAAATCATTGTCACAGTCAGGAATGAACTTGAATCCGCAGCAGGATGGAACAACGATTTTCTTACCTGTCCCAAGGTGTACTATTAATGCACTTTATTAAAAATAAATTAAAAATTAATTTATTATTAATTTTATAGAGTAACAAAAGAACATAGAGAAACTTTAGTCAAAAATGCCAAGGCCCTATTCATTAAATGCAGGGATAGTATCAAAGATACTAATCTAAAAAACATTAAACTATTAAAAAGCAAAGAGAAAGAAGGCTTATCCGAAGATTTGTCTAATCAACTTATAGAACAGGTAAAACATCACATTGCAACTACGGGAAGGATGGGAAATTACCATGACCGTTTTCTGTTACAGGTAAAACACATAGCTGATGATTATATTCATCAAGCAGAACAACTTTTTGAAAAGAAGCAAAATGAATTGCTGGGGAATTAATCTTGCACACAACTAAATGATTGATTATTTAGCAGATTGTAGCTGGTTATAAAATATTTTGAATACTGCAATAAATCTATTAGAATTTGACTGAACTTAACACATGTTATGTATAATGTTGATGATCAAAATATAACTAAATAATTTGAAAATGTTATTATAGTATAAGACGCATAAGCATATTTCACCCATTTCGGTTGGCAGTGAACATGGTTAATTTTAAATCACTAGGTGCTAAAAGGAAAAAAAATGCTGCTGAAAAAATGAGTCCTGCCATTTGACTAAACAAAATTAACTAATTAACTACGAATAATATTCAAGAAAAACAAAAGCATCATATCATGGCTGTAGTTCCTCGGAATGTAAATAAATATATAACAAAATTTTGGAACACTGCTTACTAAAATCATTAACAGAGAACTTTATATAAAAAATGAATTTATACAATGCTAGAAAATTTTAGATTAAAATAAAAAATTATACTATGCTAAAAAATTTTAGATAAAAAATGAATTTATACAATGCTAGAAAATTCATTTTTTTTAATCTAAAATTTTGTAGCATTGTATAAATTCTTGTTTGTTTTTTTTTTAATCTAAAATTTTCTAGCATAGTATAATTTTTTTTCACATTGTAAAATTTAAACGATGTTTATAAATCCCAGGCCCTGAAGATGATCTCAATAAAGATCGAAATGTTGGTACGATAAAGAAAATGTTTTTCTAAAACCTACGTCTCACTAGACCGCATCTCACGACCTCCAAATAATCATCAAGTAACAGTCACTAAACACCACGCACTTATTTATCTATATATATTTTAATATATATATTTTCTATAATATATTTTACTTTCAAAATAATATTTTTACTGATATCCTTTCTTCTTAAAAGAGCTTTAATGCTTATAATTAATTTAGTTTTTGGTACTTCTTCAGTTCCAACATTCCAAAGGGAATTGGACATAATCCCAATAAGTAGGTATGTTGCATTTTTTCAGACAAGGAATTCAGAAATTAACAACTCATATTTAGTTTGTAGCCATTTGTAAATAGAAATTGACAACAAAACGTTTAAGAAAGATAAAAATTTATTTTTCCAGAACATTGTTTTTATTGAGGAAAAAATTCAGCTGTCAAATTTTAAAATAAATCATTTCTTATTGAAACAAAATTTATTTGTAAGTTAAATTTTGGGCCATGGGTGAGAAAGGTAATAAAGCTCCTTTTCTGGCCGATTTTTTTACTTTACAACAAAAGGAAGATGCTTTCATTGAAATTTGGAAGAGAATAACAAAAGAAGACATTGACTTTGAAGTAGGAGAAAGTTACTTGCTAAAACTCTGTTTTATTTATTTGTCTGATTTTTTTCCATATATTTAGGCTCTGTCCAAAGAAGAGGAGATAACATATTACAACAACCCAAACAAGACAGCTTTACGACAAGAATATGACATTAGATTTCACTTTGACTTGGATTTTGACCCAAGGACTAAACGGTGTGATCGCCACAATTTAAATATTGTCCGAAATAATATTTATAAAGAGGTTAATGTCAAAAATAGAAAAGTGTATTTTTATCACTTTAATGTTTTATATATAACATTATTAGTCATCTGCATCATATTTATCTTTTGATCACTTTAAACATAAATTTGGCTTAAAAGATCTAGGTTTTCTCTCACTACTGATTTAAGAAACAATTAATATATTTATTTTATTTTATTTTTTTTAAAGGAAATGAACAGAATTTTTCCAGTAGTTGTATCTCACACATATGGCCATCGTAAGACTAACTTGGAAGGAACAGCACTCATTTCTCATAAAAAGAAAAGGATAATTCAGGACCTGAGTAGTCGTAACCAACTCAATCTGAAACCAACTAAAAAAAACCCTCCTATTCAAGGATATCCACAACTATCTTGAACTTTATTTTAAAAACATATTTATATATACATAAATATTTAATACAACTGTTATTTATTTATTGTAATGGCTAAATACTAACTTTGTTGCCAGTAAAATTACAATGATTGGCAAATTTATATAAAAACAGATTTAAAGCTTTTGGCATGATCTGCAATTTCATGCTCGAGTTTTTCAGGTGGTCCACCTTGGTGACGTCTTGTTTAGCTGCCATATTTAGGGTGCTGAAAGTTACTAGCTAATAGGTATAAGGAGGAGACAAGCAAGAAGTAACAGAGTTCCACTTGGAAAGAAAAGAATCCGGCCCGGAGGACCAAAATGTTGAGAAGAGGGACACTAGTATTTTTACACCATATCGGGTACCATAACACTCAACTTTGTACCATGTCATATGAAAATACATCAAACCTTTCCACACTTCATATTATTTGATAGCCTTTAACATAGTTTTTAAATAAAAATAAATAGTTCTCAGATAGTTGTTCTCAATATTTGTGTGTTAAAATCATTAATACTTTCAACAAATAATATGAAAATATTAGTATGTACTAATAGAATAGGTCGTTTGGAAAAGTCCAAATTAAGTTTTTTGAAATTTACACTGCAGAGAAGAACGTGCAGCACACTTTTGAAAATAAACAAATTGAGTCATGAAATCCTCTTCGTCTGTAAAGAATTAGGCCATGAGGAAAGAAGATTCATGGGCTGTTATCACAATTTTTTTGGTAGAAAGGTTAATTTATCACGGCGTCTAAGTATGGTTAACCAGTAAGCATTTAAGTTCTTGCTGAAGGCTGAAATTTGACAGTTCATTTTCATCAACAGGCCGTCTAAACGTTTTTGCATATTTATTATTTTTTTCTCTATTCTAAATATAAACTAATGAGGATGGCCTCCCCGGCTCCGAAATCGCCGGAACAGACCGAAAAGTCGAAAAAATACGACAGACAGCTAAGGTCTGTATTGTTTGGCTTGGCTTCGTACTTCTGTCTTCTTTGTACGATTAGACATTTTTTTTGACATTTCAGGCTCTGGGGAGATCACGGTCAAGCAGCGTTGGAAAATTGTCATATTTGTCTGGTGAACGCGTCTGGGCTTGGTACTGAGATTCTCAAGTCCCTGGTACTCCCTGGCATCGGAGGATTCACGATCGTCGATGGGAACAAAGTGGTCGACGTTGACGTCGGATCAAAGTATTTCATTTTTCTTTAATTTAAAAAAAAGTTCAATATATACTCCAACGAAACAAAACGAATTAAATACTTGTGATGAAGACTTAGCTTAGCCAGCATGCAATGAGGCTGTACCTAAGTCGAGTGGACATTTAATCTTCTGCTTGAATTTTGAGCTTAAGACAGAATTTGATATATGAAGGCTTTATATTCTAGAATTTCTTTGTAAAAAGCAATCTTTATGATGCGATGAGGTTTTCCTTTGAATTGAAGCATTTGCTTGATCAAATGAATAGTTTGAACGAAAAGCAGAATTAGTTTATACAGTAAAATACGATTTTTTCCATTAAACTTAAAGTATGTTAAAACAGGATTTCTCAGGACATTTGTAAGTTTTTGTCATTTGCAAATAGCAAGCCTAACCTACCAATCAAAATGATGCAGAATGGTGATACGTTTTCTGACCGGCAAATGTTGATCAGTTTTCCTTGCATTTTAAGATGAATTTTATAGATTCCACTGATGTAGAGAGTGTGAGAATGACACAGTCTATTCCTATTCGGGTGAGGACGAACCCTCTTCTACAAGTCAGATCCTCTGTGGGTCACCTCTGCTTTTTAATTAATGGAAATTTTGAATAAGACATTGGCAATGAACCTTTTTCTGTGTTAACTTATATATTTCTCGTAAAATGAGTTGTTTTTTTAAATTGTGAAAGAAGAGTTTTGGTTGTCTCTGATCCAGACCATAATTGCTTCATAAGAGTTTATTTAATTGCAAATTCATATTGAGTAGACTATTAATATTATTACAGTTTTTTTGTAGATATAGATAGTGTGGGAAAGCCGAGGGCTCAAGTGTGCACAGAATTTCTTGTAGAACTCAATCCTGACGTGAAAGGAGACTATGTTGATGAATCTGTGGAAGAGCTTTTGGAAAACAACCCGAACTTTTTTAGTAATTTTTCTGTCGTGATTGCCACTGCTATACCAGAGAGGTATATTTTGTGTTCTCTTTAATTGTACAAGGAAAAAATTTAAATTGAATTTTTAGGTCATTAGTACCTTTATCGGAGTTGTTGTGGACGTTGAATATCCCTTTGGTGATAGCAAAAAGCTTTGGCTTTATTGGTTACACAAGACTTCAAGTCAAAGAGCACACAGTAGTCGAATCTCATCCTGATACTCAAAATCCTGACTTGAGATTGGACAGACCTTTTCCTGCTTTGGTCCAACATTTAACATCTGTTAATATGCACGAAATGGATCTTAAAGACCACGCTCATGTTCCTTATGTTGTACCGTTGTTCTTGAGCCTTCAAGAATGGAAGCATTCTCACAACAATGAATTGCCAAAAAACTACAAAGAAAAGGAAGCTTTTAAACAATTAATAAGGAATCATTTGAAAAAGAACGAAGACGGGATCCCAGAGGCTGAGGAAAATTTCGAAGAAGCGATAAGAGCTGTCAATTTTGCTATAGCGACCACAAAGATTCCGTCAAATGTTCAGAACATCTTAAATGATGATAGTTGCATCAACTTAACATCAAAGGTAACTTACTTCAATATTGTTTTTAATATTATACTGGTAAATATATAGTCCTATATTTTTACAGAATTATTTTGAAAATAGTGCTATATAAAGTATTATACAGTGCAAAAAAATGTAAAGAATTTTGTCATACAGGAGGGCTTAACATCCAACTAACCATTGTTTCTCATAGACAAGGAGTCAAACAATTTTTTTAAAAATTATTCTCAATTGAAATTTCACATGATAAGATGTTGTGGGTTCAATAAAATATAATTATTTATATTTCAGTAGGTTTGCTGTTAACAAAACGTATAGGAAATGAAGACACAAAAAAATATTTACTAATAACAAAAATTGTATTACAAAATTAAAAAAAAAATTAATAAACCCTAAATTACAAAATCTATATAAAACCTTTATTTCTAAATTATACATCAGAAAAAGGTTGAGTTCTCACATATATTTCCATTTTCGTAATGTAGGTCTTTGCATCATACAACGGAAACATCTTGACACAATGTTTGGCAGGTTTATTCGATATAGTGAAACTTCCCTATAATGGACACTCTTTGGGAATGAAATATTGTCCACTTTTGGGATAAGAGTGAAAAAATGCTTAGTATTGCAAGATGGACCATATTACAAAATCACAATGTTGAACACTGGAGGATTTTAGCCTTTTCTATGACCAGAGGGTTTTTCACATTCAGGGGTAAAAACTCCACTCCAAAGTTAAACGAAGAAATATGAACATCAGTCAATAAAAAATAATAAATAGTGGTCTTTTCAGAATTTGATTTAATTTTCTGTCATTATCTTTATTTCAAAACATCTTTGAGAAGTTGTGAATGGGGTCACCCACCCGTACCACCAAATTTAAACTTATTACAATATTGATAAATCATGACAAAACTCAACTTTTTAAAAAATATATTTAGTTTTTTCACAACTCATTTATATTTTAGAGTAAGCCATTTTGGATATTGGCAAAAGCATTAAAAGACTTTATTGAAAATGAAGGAAATGGATGTTTGCCTCTAAGAGGTTCATTGCCTGATATGACAGCTGAGACTAAGCGGTATATAGCACTTCAACAAATGTAAGTTTAATTTATTAATTAAGTGGTTAAGCATATAAGTATTTCTTTTTTTTTATAAATAAACTTTTTAGTTATTTACAAGAAGCGAATCGTTGTGCTGAACTGGTTCACCGGCGTGTACAACAACTACTCCATCAAGTAGGCCAGCCAATAGATCTAATTAAAGAATCTGAAACTAAACAATTCTGTAAATATGCAAGTGACATTGCCGTAATCAGAGGGTCAAAAATAGCTGATGAATACGATTCAAAATTAATAAATACTCATTTAATATGTAAATATAAATAGTGTATTTGAATTTAAATTTGTATATTGAAATAATTCTTGTACTAGCTCAAGGTGTTGATGATGCAGAGAGTTTAATTGTCTATTATGTATTAATAAGAGGAACTGATAGATTTTATGGCGAATACAATCATTACCCGGGGGAGTTTAAGGATGAACAGGACATTGTAAAATTGAAGGTGAAAACAAATTCCTAGGATAATATGTACTCAGTGTTAATAAATAAAAAAAAATTTGCAGGCCTGCATTTCTAAACTTCTGACGGAATGGGGTTGTGGTCCGTTGTCAAAAGATGATTACGTTCACGAGTTTTGCCGGTACGGAGGTGCTGAACTTCATTCAATTTCAGCCTTTCTAGGTGATTTATATAACAATTGTTTAAACTTTCTACACAAACAAATTAAATAAAACTATTGATAATGGTTACTCTTACAGGTGGTTGCGTTGCACAAGAAGTGATCAAATTAGTAACAAGGCAATATAAAATATTACACAATACATTTATATATGATGCAATTTCTTCAAATACGGAGACTTTCATTTTTTAAATAACATCCATATTAAACTTTTTTTTCTTTATATATTGTTGTACACTTTTTTGATTTTACATTCACGAAGGGGTTGATATAATTGTATTGTATATTAAAAAATGGAAACAGATTTTTTATTTTTTTTATTGTACTTGTAATATTGTTTGGTCATATTTTATTGATATTTTTCAGCAGTACAATAAATATATGCATAACTTGTTCACAAGTGAATTGTCTACATAATTTTGAACTGCTGATATAACAATGAGGAATTGTTTTCAACGTGATTTATTGTTCACCTATGACCCTACTATTGTACCAATTATACCAAACAAGGCCAGGGGCGACAGAATTGAAACTACAACAGTGGAGCTTAAGAGGCGAGCCTAACTACTCCAGTTCCCGTTGAAAAAAATTATTGAATACTTAATGACCATGGATAAACAGTACATTTATGCTTGATCATTTAAAGGATTTCATGAATAAACAATGGAACAATATGTTCTATACTAGTCAGCACTTGATCACTCTACTGGATCTATCCACTCTACTGTCATGGGTTTAGATACCACTCAAGCGTTTTAAGGGATAAGGATAGGTTGGAATTACAAACACAGAGTGGACATTAGTTAAAAAAACTTATTTATATTTCGGTATAGCCAATTGGCCTCAGTTTATCCATCAACCTAAATTGCACTAGTACTCCATTTTACTGTCATATATAAAAAAATCTTTTGCTGAATTATTCACAATTCAATTTTCTAGTAGCAACTGGCATGTAGTTAGGAGCAAAGCTCAACTTGCTGCAAGGTCAAGTTTAAAATCTTGTCCTTATTACTTTTTATAACTTTGATGAGCCAACAAATCACACTTGTCACATCGTCAAAACAAAGCTAGTTTATTTTGATAGTCATCACAGCCGCAATAGGAACACTACTAAATCACACCAAATCTTGCTTTTTTTAAATTAACTGGTTGGTACTTCCACAATTTTCTAAACCACCACAATCTCCTTATTGTATATCGTTTTCAATTTCCTAGACCAAACACATTTTGAAAGCTTTCTAATTTTCTCTAATAATTTTGTCATATTAGATTTTTTCATCTTACTTCATTTTTATGGAATGTCCAAAAATATCGAGTATAAAAATGACCCAATGTACTACAAGATTCGAATAATGCCAGTTAAAATGAAAGACGGTATAGAAAACATTTAAAAAAAAAAAAAAAAAAAAAAAGAGGAAGAAACTAATTTTTCTCACCATACGTTATCACCGGTAATCATTGACGATTAAAAATTTCCTAAAGGAATAAAACTAAATGTGACAACTAAGTGGCAAATAAAAGAAAAAAAAAGTTCAAATCATTATAAGCTATGTAGGCCTTCAATTGGGTCTTCCATTGTGATGGATAGGCACTCTGAAGATGGCAAAATTTGGACAGGTCTGATGAACCCAACATATGCAGACCAAAATTATTGGTATGATTAAACGTCACCACCCTATAGACAAGGAAAAATCTAAATTTTTAATCAAGAAGTAATAACAACTAATAAAACTAATTTTTAGAAATGATTAATGACTAACTTTTTGTCCCTATGGTAGACTACCCAACACTATAGGTAAAACAAGCTATATGCTGTGTAAAAGCTTGCTTAAATTGTTAGTAATGAATTTAAAGTTACCATTAAAGTAAAAAAATAAAAACTAGAACACGGAGGGAAAATAACAATACTTATTTGTAAAAGTTTTATTTTTGCTAATCAATGCATATTTTTCCTTTTCTTTAATAAAACTTGGCAACAAATTGGTATTTTTGACAACAAATACATTTTCAATGACTTCAATAAATGTTTCATTATAAATATATATATATGAAGCTTTACTACACAGTAACAGCTATTGTACTAGGTATAAATAATGTTAGACTCCATGATTTTACCACTTTTTAGCAATCAAAACGATTTAACAAATAAAAGCACATTAACTAAGGGCCTGAATATCAAATGAGCCATTGAAATTGCAATTAGTTCTCATTATATTTCACTTCCTACAGTAAAAAACAAAAACAGCAATTTTTTTAGGAGCACCATAACAAAAGCCTACCAAGGAACAATAAAAAAACATAAAAACAATCCAAATTCTACTCGGAAATAAAAATTCATAGCCTAGTTCTAAGTGCCTTTCTCTTTTTAATTAAATTACATTAGATTCAATATAAATTCAAGGCAAGATATTTTTCAATTTTGAAGATAAAGGGCAAATTAAAATCAGTGCAACGTAAAATGCCAGCAATGTGAAGCCCACATGTATATATATATACTGTTTGTTTGTTCACACACTGAAGGTTTAAGGACAATAGAACTTTGCAGATATATTAAAGAACAGGTGTTATCAAAATCACAGCCTTTCCTCTCGTCTCAATAGGTTTTTGTGCTGTCAACATAATTTAAAAACTCCTTTTAAGATAGAATTTAGAATTTGTACTAAAAATATTTAATTTTATTTGCAAAACAAAGATGTATGTTTACTGACTCATGGAGCACTCATTTCACCTTTTGCAAATTCTTGCGCCACCCTCTCATAAATTGATATGATAGTGTCAAGCGTATTTCTAACAATTCCAGTACAAAAACTCAATTCTAAGATACTTAACAAAAAACTTTTCAAAAAATGTAAAAAAATAGTTTTATTAAATAGTTCTAACCATTGTTCAACCTTCATAAAACATTTATCCAGCACAAAATCCTTATAACAAAGAGAATGGCTCGGCTTGATTTAGACTTTTACATTATCATTGACTTCGAATGTTCTACTCACCAAATGCTAACAAAATAACGTAGTTCATATTGTCAGGATCACGATTTAACAAATTAAAATCTTAATTGAAGGCTATTTAATATTTTCAATGCCATAGGTTAAATAATAATGTAAAATCAAAATATTTTGTTTAAATAGATTTTTCAGACAAAATAATCCAAGGTGAGTTGTAATTAAATGACACTAAAAACAAAAAAGATTACTTTTGAAATTATAATATACATAATAAAAAGGTTAATGGAAAAAAAAACATTATACACAATTTTTACATACATTCCTTTTTAAATGGAGGAAAAAAGTTTAAAAATGCAACAATATTAATGATATAATTGCTTCACCAACATAAAAAACACCTCCTGAGTTTCACGTTTTAAATTATGCATACAACTTAACTGAGAGACAGGTTTCTCTGCAGTGCAGTTGTACTGCTTTCTACTTCAGTGAGATTGACTGCACACTCATACTTGCTGTAGAAATAATACTGAAATGCACAGTACACCCAATAAAGAAACACAATTGTCTTGGAAAGTAGTTACAAAAGAGCTTACTGAAGTCTAAAAATTGCATGACTTGTCAGTTTAAACATTCCACTAGTTAGACAGATCACCCAACTTGACATCAACTGAGTCGGGCTATTGTTTTATATATTTTCCTATAACAATATTCTCACATTTTTTGTTTTGTTTTTAAAGTATCATGTGATAGAAGTAAGTTACAGGTTTTCTGATTAATAATGTCAAAGAGTTTTAGCACTTACTCTTCAGGGAAAGGTTTTGCTCCAATTGAAGCTGAAATAGTGATGAGGAATGTGGAGTGAAAATATAAAATCATTTTTTCTTTTTGTGAATTAACATAACTATTTCCATATAAGTTAAGACATAAATATTACAATAAGGCTTTTACAACAATTAATTTAACAAATTCATTTTAAAATTTTGTTTTAAAACCATTATATTAAGACTTTAACAATGGTCACATGACACAGCATCTGTATTTTTTTGGAAGGGGGGCAAGCTGGGAATAGTTAAGTGACAGTTTTGACTTTCTTTCGATTCTTATATTTTGTTTTGGGGAATGTGCTACTTACAGTGTGAGGTTTAAGGAAAGGGTGTGTGCTCAGAGGAGGAATTTACCAAGGATGATGCCTAAAAGGCCTGAAAGGATAGCCATTACAATTAGTGGAGTTTGTTGACTGATCGGTGACGCTTGCGATAGTGAGCGGGAGCTCCGCATATCCTGCATATTGAGCTTTCGGTCCAGTTGCATGATTAGTTCCTAAAAATACAATAACAAGATTAATTTATTTTGATACTGGGCAAATTTTTTTATTTTCGTTTGGAGGATTCAAAATACATAATATTAATAAATTAGTATAGTGGTTCCCCCCATTTAATACATTGCAATTGAGCCAGAATAAAATTCAATGACTTAAACCAAAAACATATCAAGCAAAACCTGAAGATTTAAAAAAATCGAGGAGGAATGAATAAAACTGGCTTTAATGTATTTTGTCACAGTGATCAAGTATGTACATATGTACATAAATCAAAATCACATATATTAAAAACAGTCTGTGATATGCATTTGTTTTTTTGGATGTATTCTCAAGGCCTGTACAGATTAAGCAAATTTCAGCCAATGAAAGATGACAAATATATCAGGCCGAACATTGGTCGTCAACTCATTGGCACGTTCTTATCAAACCATGGGATTCGGTCATGTGGAATCACAGTCAACAACATCAACCCTTTTAATGTTACTACCAAAAGGCTGAAACTCGACCAAGGGCAACCACTTCATTGGCTATGATTCTCCTCCCATACACATTAAGCAAATTACATCCAACGAAGCGGTTGGTTGCCTTTCATTGGCTGAGATTTGCTTAGTGTGTACCTACTAAATATAGGTTCATTATCTTTCTTATGAGTTATCAACTGATTCTCTCTTTTACAGCTTGCCGTCATAAATTAAACACAAATTACTGCTCATTGATCCACCAATGAACTAGCCAAGTATTGGAAAAATGAAAATGGAAAGATGAACAAGTACCTCATACTTCACTCTCCTCACGTCATATCAAATACCAAGAATGTTAGCTTTAATCATTACCAATAGTGGAAAGCTGTACTTTCAAATATTAGTGAAGGTGTAGTGTGGTATTTTTCAGCCAAATCACAACTAGACGTATTATCACCTTTTTTCACAAGATTTCAGAACGTTTTACTGCTTTTCAAAGTTTCTGTAATAATAAGCAGACACACCAGGCATGTTGTGGAATCTCTTACAACTTGAGTTCAATACGATGTTAGAACCCGAGCTAAAAGGGGCACTTCTTATGTACTCTTCTGCATGTAGATTTCGAAAAATGTAGAAACATGAAGAAAAGCGTTTCTCTATTAAATATACTTTCCTAAAGGTAGATTGGGGATGGGGCCAGGAAGACAGAAACAACATTTATTTTCTTGTCGAGCTTTCGGCAGAATATATCGCCTTCATCAGGACTTCGAAAAAAATCGCATTACAGGTATACAAGGGCTCTACTAGCTATCCGTTATCTACACACATGTACCTGTTCATATAATATAACGATTTTTTTCGAAGTCCTGATGAAGGCGATATATTCTGCCAAAAGCTCAACAAGAAAATAAATGTTGTTTCTGTCTTCCTGGCCTCATCCCCAATCTACCTTTAGGAAAGTATATTTAAACTGAGAAGGCTGATCAAACACCAACGAAAATGTTTCTCTATTGTTACAAATGGTCACTTTTTCACTACTGCCATCCCCCTTCCCTCTAAACTTCACTCCTTTTACTTTTGACGCTATGTTCTTATAATATTTTCAAAATATTTAAGATCAACTCATGGACAGGTAGAAAAAGAATGAAGATGCAAATTACTGTGAGTGTGCTTTTTACTGCGCTGAAATCTGGGGATAAAAAATAAATGCAAATTCAACATTGTTATAAATTAATATGACTAAATTAAAAAGAACAATCCAAGTAATAATAATAAAGAACATCTCATTATATTATTTATACTATTGTCTTTATTTCTATTTCTCATTCATACTTTAAATTATAGCAATTGTATTTTTTCTTCACAAAATGTAACTTTGCTTTTATTATGATATATTATTGATTATTTAATATTTTTATTATGTGCATGAAGGTTTCCCTGAAGACAAAACACTGCTATTATTGCTCCCACTTCATATCATGGGACTATCATAAATTTCTCCAATGAACTGTTCCAAATTAAACCTTGCAAGGCAACGCTTTTATGCTGAACTCAGTTGACTCGACTAGACGACTAGCATGAAGGACGAATGCGGACTAGTGTCTTTTGAGTTGAGTCAATGAGTGGAAATGAGAACGTTAGCAGTACTTGGCCCTACTGGCCACTCTTCTATGTGAAAACCACCCTCAATACACAGCCAGCTTATTTTTTAAATCTAACATTTTGTGTTTAATTGATTTCTTTTACCTTTAGCTTAATGTTCTCTTTGCGAAGAATAATTTCTTCTTCCCTGAGTTGTTCAACTTCCTTTGTAACTTCATTCAGCTCAGTATCAGCATTATTTGGCTACAAAATTAAATCCATTAATAACTGATAACAATTTAAGTTAAAGAGTATTGTATTAAACACAATTTTATTTCTTGTTTTATTTTTTATTATTATAGATTACTTTCAATCAACTAAGACAAAGAATAGTGACTATTTAGAGATCGTGAGATGTGGTCTGGTGTGATGTATTTTTACAAAAACTTTTTTTTTTATCGAGACAACGTTTCGATCTATCAAATCCATTTTGAACACTAACACAATTTCGATTTCAACAATCCAAAATTAATAAACAGAACAAAACAAACATAAACATAACTGTTTAGAAATGGTTTACGCCAACAGAGATAAACACAGCATCAATTACAGAACAAACACATGTGAACTCAGCCACAGCTATGCTATGTTATAAATCAAATTCAACATCAAAAACATACATATAACACACAAAACATATAAAACAATCGTTGTGCTCCATACATTAAACAATTCTACATAGTTTAAACCCCAACAATTTCTCCTTTCCCTAATAATCCCATCTGTAATAATCCTGAAAAACTAACTAGGCCCAAACATTAAACCATTACCCTTTTTTCCATTGTCAGTCCCTTTCATCTCAAAGAAGCCGATTCCTAATAGAAACATGAATTCCTATCCCTACTTCCTTCCAAACTCCTTCAAAATCAAACATATATAAAGGAAAAAAGATTAATATCTCACTAACACTCAACAAGACACATAAACGTGACAAAACTACACAGAAAACAAACGCTTTGAGTGAGTACAAATACTTTCGATTAAACCTAAGATTTCTATATTGTGTACATCATTGTATAAACTGATGTATTTTTTTAAATTTAAAGAATGTTTATAAATCTCAAGCCCTGAAAAGATCTCAGTAAAGATCGAAACGAGATGATAAAGAAAACGTTTTTGGACCTACACCACACCTGACCACATCACATGATCTCTAAATAGTCATTAATTTAGTACTTTACTAAATAATAGTAATTTAGTACTAAATAAATAATAGTAATTTAGTACTTTTATACTCAAAGAATAGTTTAAAATAATTCAAAATGCTTACAGAATCGCCAATGAATTTTCTTTCTTCCTTTTGGGCGGCAGGAACATTTGATGCAGGCACTGGACTCGGGCTGGAGTTTGTAGTATCGTTTGATTCAACTGGGTATTCAAAAACACACCTCAACTTTGTATCCATTAACTTCTCTGGTTTAACTTCATTCCACTGAAACAGTACACAAGTTGATTACAATTGCAATAATATGATATGGCCATATTAGAACGAATTAATAATGAGTCTTACTGCCAATACAGGATGAGTGTCAGGTGGAGTGAACAAGGATTGAACCATAAATTTATGTTTACATTTTTCATTTGGGTCATAATCAAATGGTTGTAAACACACTAAAAAACACAAACAAAAATGGAACAGATTTTCATATCATTTTATAACTGTCTCAATTTTTTTGTAGCAATTTTGTAATTATTTTTATAAATAAACATATAAATACCATGTATAGTTGTTCTCTCGTCTGGCAAAAGCTCTCCAGAGTTTGGCCTTACACAATATTTCTTCGGAGCAGTGGTTTTTATTTTGAATAAAACTGACTTATTTGTGGGATTATGAAGGGTAATGAACGCGGAAACCATCTTAGTGAAAGGTCCTGAATGAAGAACAAGAATGAAATTAAAATAATAGTACTATAGTAAAGTATACTATAACATTAATTTTTTTTTTGTATCTGTAATTTTTATATATTTAGTAAAAATATAGTCAGACAATATTCAACTATTAAAACCATATTTTACTCTCTCTCTCTCTTTTTAATTTATTATTTTTTACAAGGGGATTTGAACTATGAGGTCATATGAAACCTCGGAGTGCTGGTGTTTTTGAGGAAAAAAAGAGTAGAGTTGTAAGTATGTTGGGATGGGAATGCAGTGCTGCTGTATTGAATCTGCATTTTACAGTGATGAACGTTGTGTCGACAAATTCACTAATTCCGTGGTCCACTTGACCAATTAATACTTTATTATTAATTAAGGTTTTTAGTTGAGATGAAAAAAAGTTAATGGCACGAGAGGGATTCAAACCCACGACCTTCGGCTAGATACGCCGCTGCTCTACCACCATTAACTTTTTTTCATCTCAACTAAAAACCTTAATTAATAGTTGTGTCAACACCTAAACCGTTGTGGCCACCAATACCCCACTGTCACCTTAAAGCAACACCAACATTTGCCTGAATATAAAAAACCTTTGAAGATTTGTGAACTCTCAGCAAGGCTAATTTATCATACCCACAATCAAGATATGATAATCCTTATTTGAAACTTTGGTAAATGAAAAGTGGAAAAAAATTAACAATAAGAACTTATCATCTCATAGCCATAAGTTACCGACAAATAAATAAAATAACTGTGATCTGATTCGCTGAAAAAAATATTTATCTGGTTCAAGTTATAAGTCTTGAGTGAGTACTTATTGACATGAATGTTGATGTGGGAAGACCAAATCATGATTTTAGTAAGTTAGTTGTTTGGGTCTCCTATATCCTGTCTACTACCTTGGGTTCCATCTAGACAAGACTAACCTGGAACACACAAGACTTGTGAAGGCACTAACCAAGGTTTTAGACTAATCCATGCTGTCACATAAATCCAATGTTTCAACGAAAAATAGACTGACTATAATAAAACCAATCTGGACTATGGACTAGAACTATGGGGCACTTCCATACCTTCCAACATCCAAAGAATACAGTCCTTCCAAACCAAAGTCCTCAGCATGATATTCAATGCTCCTTACTACCTCTCTAACACCCTTCACAAAAACCTCAAAATCCTTTTCATGCAAAAACTAATTCCTAAAACATTTCCACAATTTTTAATAAACTCAAGTTGCCCAATCCTTATCCAATAGAAACCACACAAATAATCCCACCAGACGACTGAAGAGATGGCTTTGTGACCTACTGATTGAGGATTAGTCCTTGTGTGTAGCTGTGAGAACAACAACGGTTTTTAAACTCCCCTCACAACACAATCCATGTCATTTGTAAATTGAACTTATTGTGCAAAGGGAGAATAATGAATGCCTAGTACTTAGTTGAACTTTTGGCGAGAATATATAAGAATAGATGAGAGAAGGAGAATATGATTTTAATTTGAAAATAGATAAGTTGGAGCCTATATTCAATGGGCCAGATAATTTAATTAATAATGATAATGATTAATTTGTAACAGATAATGTTTAATTTGTGACTGTCAACAATACTAGATTGTGATTGTAATAATCAACTGTTTTAATTTTTTTTAAATATGGGATATTTGAAGGAAAAAACTATAAATATAATTTTAAACTTGATGTTCTTAATTTGTATCATCCCACAGTTGAAATAGTGGTAAGGGCTCACAGTAAAGCAATAATTGGTGTTTGTAAAAGTTTATCTTGTTTGTCAAGACCAACATCTGTTTTATTTATCCTAGCTTGTTATCTTGTGGATACACCATTTGGAAATGGAATCAATATATTTTAATGGAAAAAAAAACGCATGATTCTAATTAAGCACAAATTGATCAAGCTGCATTTTTATCAAAACTCTTCCATTTTCAGTTTAAATCACAAATTGTTATTCTTAGTCAAATCAAATAATCGAAGAATCTGGTAGATAATAATTATAACTGTTCAGATTTTAGGTTAATAATTTGCTTATGATTATCAGTGCATGCAGTCAACTTTATAAAAGCATTACTGTTCTCGATTCAAACATAAATATACATTTGTTTTTAAATGCTACCCTTAACCCATTCAGGATGGTTAGTGCTCTTTGTTTCACAATTGAGGAATTTAGAATGTGATACTGCACTCATCCCAACCACTATGCAGGAACCGAGAGCTTGATATCGCACTTTATTCTCTTCACCTTTAGATTTAACTACACAGGAACAGCGTGCTGTTTAAGTTATTATTTTTAGCACTAATGAGTGTTAATTTAGAAAACATAATGCTGTTGTTTACAGTTTTAACTGATATGATGCTAACCATCCTTAAATAATTATAAATAGAATTAATCAACAACTCAATTGTAGGTAAAATAGCAGAAAAACGCCTTAGTTCCAGCAAAGTGGAGTTTATTTTTGGAAGCTCTTTGTTTAAATTATAAACATCTTCAGCAATTTTTTCTGATTGTTCTTTTTTATTTTATTTTCGCAAAATTATTACATTAATAACACAATTAACAATTATACTTCAATTCAGCAAGTAGTTAAATTGAAGTATAATTGTTAATTAAATGAATTGAGTTATTAATGTAATAATTAAAAAACAATCAGAAGAATCACTGAAGATGTTTATAATTTAAAAGAAAAGCTTCAAAAATAAACTCAACTTTGCTGAAATTAAAGACTTTTTCTTCTATTTTACCTATGTTGGAGTCCCATCTTAAAAATACTTCAACCCTCATAAAAATTCAATTAACTCTTTTGTTTTTATTTTAATTCAGGCTGGTGTATTTTATTTTGTATTTTTAGAGTAAAGAGCATGTAATTAATTAAATTCATTCATTAACATTTCCACTTGATTCTCCCTTGGTTATTTATAACTTTGTTGACATGCGACCCCAATTGAGTTGGCAATACCTGATCTTCATGTATATGATTAAAAAAAAAAAGAAGAAAAAAAAGACAAACATGTTTTTGTAACAAAGTAGATCATGATAAAATATCAAACATCAGTTCGATACTACAACATTAAAAGACAGGATTATGATAGGGTGCTATTATAAAATTTCTAACACAGATGAAATGCAAGGTGAACAGAATCTAAGAATGTTTACTATTATATACCAGCACAACATTATTCCCTCTTTAATAAATGTAAGAAATCACACAATAACACACATTTGCATTTTTAACGTCTAGTTTAAATTTTTAATTTAAGAAGAAGTCAAAGGACAGAAACAAGAAAGGCAACAATACTAACCATATTCTTCGTATAATCATTTTATTACTTTTTTAATTCATAACAGTAGATTAAATCATGAGTTATGATATAACAATCATTATATTCTATCAAATAATAACAACAAATGTCTAAGTCTTGATATTATTAGAGAAAACTAATTCAAATAGGCCAAAAAGCTGTTAACGCACTAAAAAGTATGTCTAATATTTATCTTATCGTTCTGCACGTGTGGATAAAATAGAGGTGTAATTTACACGAACAACATTAATATGGTGAAATATTGACGGGATGATGAAATTGCAATATTTTCACAAGGTTAAGGCTTGAGTGGCTGACAGTGAAAATATAGCTGACTTTGCACTACCGAGGTATTTTAACCCTGATTCAAAGTACAACAAAATTAAGTCTTCTCTGCTGGCCAGGAGGAGACTATTAAAAACAAGATTTAGAATCATTCATAAAATCAACAATGATAATTGAAAACCCGTTTTCCAGGTACAACAATTATTTTATTTGTATTAAATTTAAAAACAAAAATAATTAGTTCATTATAATTATATACAACTGCATATCAGCAGATTTAGTCATGAACAATAATAAACATATGTTATACGTGGTTTGCCACCTGGATAATACGGCAGTTCAGTATGAAAATAGACGTACAGAAATACTCTTCCTCTATTGGAATTTCTTAAATTCTATCCTTTTGGTACATTTCCTACTCATAACGTTCCTTATTAATAAATTTTACACATAAACTCTAATTTTATACTATTGTTAAATTTAAAAATTATTGCATGTTTTATTATCTTTTTAAGTTTATAGTTAAGTCTTAATGCTTAACTTAAGCACAATGGCCTATGGTAAATGCAGATCAATATAAATGGCAAGAGTCAAAAACTTATGTATTGATCAAGGTTTTCTGATTTCCCGGCAATCCTCACAGACTCGGTTTATACAGAAAATATAATGTAATGAAACAAAATTTATATGGAGTAATATTGATAATGAATGAAATGATAATATTTATTCTGCTGACAGTAAAATATAACTGACATAGGACCTTTAAAAACATGCACACCTGTTAAGCACACAAAATTATGCCGAGATTGTTTTTATTTTATTTTAATTTTTTTACAATTACGACACTAGATATTGTAAAACTGGCCTTAATGCAATACAACATAAAAGTATTAAATAATCGCCTTTAAAATAAAAAATCAACTATAAAAACAAATGAAAGGCCCAATAACAGAAAACTGAAAAATGATAATGCACATGACTGAATTGGCAAATCCTTGTATCAGTAATGTTTTCTTCCTTTAGATAAATATGTAATTAAAAGTGTCCATTTTTGGTTGCTTTTACATACATTCTTTAAAGTAGCCCATGGATGAGTTAAGACAACTGATAATTCAAAATTTTTGTATTAATGAATGCTTTTATTTAAATGTGTGGTGTTGTGACCGTTAGTTAATGATTATTTAGAGATCGTGGGCTTTTATTTAAACGAGTTGGAGCCTAATAAATGAGATTTTTTTAAGGTGCTAAATTGGAATGAAATATGGGGAAAACTGCATAAAAACTTGCCTATCAAATAAATTAATATCTGTTTGTTGATATTAATTCAAGGGATTGAAACATCCAATATTGAGAAATATTGAGGGTAAATGAAATTACAATATTTATTCAAGGCAA